ATTATTATTATTATTATTATTATTATTATAATAATCTTCTGATTTAAATCCAATCAAGCGTGCATTTCACTTGCTGAAAAGGAGTGAAGTCAGAAACTCCCTAAAACAAACCGCAACTGAAAATGGCTGCAGCAAAGGCTTGGAAAAGTTCCCAAAAGAACCAACTGAGAATTTGGTGATGTCAGTTGGTTAATGGCTGGATGCGGTTAACTGCGTGCAAAGGATTTGCAACCAAATACTGTGTTTTATGCTACTTCAATTAATTTACTTTTAAGTTAATTTGTCCCAGTATGTATGCTCACCTAAACTGGGGCGATGGAACACAAAATGTGATATTATTTTAAGCCGGTAAATTAAATGTCCTCAGAAATGCCGAGAAATTAAATATATTTATATATCTTTTCATTTCAAATCTGATTTGCTTGAGTATACAACCAAAATAGCAATTTTGACTTCACTGTCCCTATACTTATCAATAGCACTGTACTCTACAGCAGAATTTCCAATATTTGCCAAATGCATGTCCAAAGTTATTGTACAGTGATTCTTTTACACTGTGCCACAATAAAGTTCCCCCACTCAGATGTCTGGCTTACTTTATGATGTACTGTAGCTGAGCAGATGTAATCAGCTCTTTACTCTTTACAAGAATTGAATTAAAATAGATGAGGAAGCCATCTTTCAATTAAATTAAATTCCTTTTCAAAAACATCTTTACAGTTTGGGAATTTTTGTGTATCCCTTTATACACTTAGGGTGCTTTCCATGCTAATAAATCCCTCTAGCAAAAACCACTTTTGAAAATACTAGAGTTAGTATTGCACATGATCTGTTTATCAGTGGAAAAATGTCAGAAATTATTTACAGTCATAGTAATTTCTTATCCAATTTGTTTTAGCATTGATAAACATTTACAAAACCTTCTTATTCTGATATTGCTCACCAGTGTCACAAATAATCTCATTATAAATACCATAAATCACTCAAGACACAAGATTTTAAACTAAAATCTTATTAAAGAGAAGGTATAACATACAGTATACAGTACATTTACCTCTAAACACATAATGTGTTTCTTCACTGCTGCTGTCACTGTACTTGTTTTAGTGATGTTTTATTCATGTGTTTTTCTGGTCTTGACATTGTGAGTTTGGTTGTGTGGATGTTCCTACTGTATGTGGTTCAACTTCTGTGACCATGAAGTTTCAATGGTGTCATTTTCACTGGCCTAGGCTGCCTGTCAGAAATAGATAGAACTCACTGAACCCCATAAAGGAGCAAATGCCGTAACATTTACAGGGTATCATGGGGGAGTATTTTAAACCTCTTGTTTTTGTTTCATGTATTGTCTGTGGTTGACTTGAATGCTGAATTCCCAGTTTCAGTTTCAAACTGGAACACCTTTCACGGGAAATAACATGACCTTTTCATTCCCCTTAAATCTGTGTTATTTTGGATGTGTATATTCATGCAAACCCATTTTACACATGGATTTAGTTTCAAAACTGATTTTTTTTTCTTTAAAGGGAATATAGAGATACTGTAAGTGGGGAAACATTTAACCATGTTTTGAATACTAACATATCTGTAGTTCAGGTGGGTAGCTGTGTCAGCATGCATGGGCTGCAAAGGAACAAGTAATAGGTTTATTCCATGCTGAAAAAAGAACAAAATGCAGCTTTTTGTCTGTGGAGCCTTCTTCGGGTGTAAGCTTATACCCAAAAAGGCTCCACAGCCGAAATGTTGTGTGTTCTGTCTTCTCTTTTCAGCATGGAATAAACCTATTACTTGTTCCCTAACACATCTGTAGTGACAGTTGCTAGAAAACTTAATTAGAAATAAAACTTTCTATTTGTATTTTACATTGAATTTTTTTCTGTTTGTATTTGCAATAGCTGAGAAAGTATTTACAGGAGCATTCTTGAGTCAGGCATGGAGCGGACATTGGTTTATAGCTGACAGCTTTCACATTGAGCAGACTGAAGAACCAGCGGTGGGCTGAGAGTCCTATTTCACATAGTGTTGGGGAGCGGGATGAATGTAAGATACTGAGTCTCCCATGGTCAGATACTCCTTAGTCTTACTTTGTACATTATCAGTATATTTAATTATAGTTCTTAAAGATATTGAAAAGAGAAAAATAGATTTGACAATGTGACATTTACTTATACTGTAATTAAACAGGGCCAGCAGCTTCAATTCCAGATACAGACTGTGCAGTGAAATTAACTCTGGTCTTGAGACATAAAAGCGAACTCATGTTCACGGGTGTTCCTTAGGCAGTTAAGTAGATACCTGTACACCTACATTAAATTCCCAATTTATAGTCAAAAATGCAAATTATATGTATAGTTGTACCTACCAGTATTATGTTATCTATCATATATTAATACTTCAGCAGTAACAGCAAGGATTCCAAGAAGATCCACATTGTCCTATTTCATTTTCCTCTATCCACAGTGCTAGTTAATTTAGATCAAAGGGGGCATCTGCTTAACTTCTCTGACAGCAAAAATCGACCTGGATCACAACCTTGAAATAGTTGCCTTGAACCTTTACAGTATGTCTCAACAGAGCTCATCTCCTTTTCCCCGCCAGATCAAAGACCTTCAATGAGGAATGCTTATCCTCGTGTATTTATAGATTTTCACTGCTTCCATTAGCAAGTGTGTGAGCATTCAGAGCTGGCTCATAGCCCTTCTGTAATTGTGCCTGTATGTCAGTGGTCTGTCTGCATTCTTTTGTTTCTCTGTGATGACATATTCTTATATTCTGACAGGAAATCTGTCCCATTGTACTAAATTGCCTTTGTCCCCCTTTCCAAACCTGGTTTCTTTGAATTATACATTTGCTATGGAAGTGAAAAAAAATAAATACATGACTTAGAGTACATTGAAAAATATTGTCCATCAATTTATAAAGTATTGTCAACCGTCTTATAAAATTAAATGCTCTTTATTTAATAGATTTTACCTCTGAATATAAATTAGAACCTTTACCACAGAAAAACCAAACTGCATTAATCATTACACTTGGTCTTAATAATTAATTAAATCATTAATTGCTGTGAGGCACATATGTTCTTAAGAAGTGATATGTTTGTACATCTTTCATGTAGGTAGATTCATCAGCATGCGTAGGCCGCGAAGGAACAGGTAAAGGTTTATTCTATGCTGAAGAAGGCTCCACAGCCAAAACATAGTGCTTGTTTTCTTTTCAGCATGGAATATACCTTTACCTGTTCCTTTCATCTTCTTAATTATCTGTTAAAGTTATATGGTTTCAGATGCTGTTTTTGAATATACATCTGTTAATATTTTGTTAAAAATGAATTCTCATAAGTTAGCGACCAAGTGGAGTAGTGGTTAGCATTGCTGCCTAACAGAGCTAAGGCTCTGGGTTTAATTCTGGACCAGGGGTGCTATGTCTGAGGAGTTTGTGTGTTCTCTCCATGTTTGCATTGTTTTTTTTTTTCCGGGTGCTCTGTTTTCCTCCCTCTTCCTTGGTCTAAAAACATACTAGTGGGTTAATTGGCTTCTGGGAAAATTGGCCCTGGTGTGAGTGTGTCTGTGTCTATGTGTGCCTTGTGATGGACTGGTGTCCCATCTAGGGTGTATCCTGGTGTGTGCCTGTTGCTTGTCGGGATAGGCTCCAGCTCCCCTGCAACCCTGAGTTGGATTAAGCAGTTAGAAAATGGATGGATGAATGTGTGGTTAACATATAAGATAAAGTAGTTCAAGTAGGTAGCTACGTCAACGTGAGTAGGCTTGCAATGAAATAGGTAACGGGTTTATTGCATTCTGAAAAGAAAAGAAAGGAAACGCAATGTTTCAGCAGTGGAGCCTCCTTCAGGTGTGTAAGATAAGATAAGATCACTCTATTAGCTATATACAATTTCTTGTATTAGGAATTTGTCTTTCCGCATACCCCAACTTGCTCTCCATGAGAGACAGACAGGGGGAGAAGCATGGGATCAGAGCGCAGGATCAGCCGTATATACGGCATCCCTGGAGCAGTTGGGGTAAAGGGGCTTGCTCAGTCTGCCTGCCGTGGGATACAAACCAGCAACCTTCCAGCTACAGGTGCAGATCCTTAGCCACCGCCCCACCCATATTGCACAAATAATAAGTTGTATTTCCCATCCATTAAATATCAATAATTGCCCAATAGTCCAATACAGGGTTGCAGTGAACTGGTGACAAAAGGGGCAAACAGGTGGTACAGTGCAAGATAGACTCATGTCCAGTGTGTATCTAAAAGCAGAAACAAACACTCATTTTAAAGACACCAGTCAACCTAAAAGGCATGTCTTTCGACTGTGGGAGGAGGCCACAGCACCTGTAGAAAATCTCAGTGGCCATCTGGACAACATGCAAATTTCGAAGAGTAGCTTAGGAAATTCCCCAGCCTGGAATTGAACCCAAAAGTTGTGAGATGGCTGTAAGATGAGTTAAACCTCTTTATTTAAGAAAATATTACAAGTGTTAAGGAAGTTTAAGCTTTGAACAAGAGAAAATATCTTAATGCTTGCATCGTGAAAATCAAACACAGATTTACAGATTATAATCTAAATGTACATTTTTTCAGACCTCAACAGTCGCAACCTATATTGTTTTCTAGAGTTTTCACACCCTCTGGTGAGATCTGGTGCCAACTATTTAAAACCATAATGTGTATGGTTCCCTCCCTTGCCTTGAATTCATACTGTATATCTGTGATTCTTGAATTGTTTGTTCTATTAACTGTGTTTGAAATGTATGACATATTATACAGTATAAAAAAGCAGCCATGTGCCGTAGATCAAGAAGCAGGAAGAGAGAGGCAGCTGGTCTGTGCCAGCATGCATCTGCCTCAGTCCCACCTATTCCAGATGGTGTATAAGAGTTCAAGATTTGAAGTTTTTTTGTTTTTCATTCCATTCAGTTTACAGAAATGCATTGCCCATAAATGCTAAGCATAACGAGTAGTGTAATCATCTTAATGTTCTTTCTTTGTTTTAGGTGGATAATGGTTAACTCCAGGACATAATGCAAACTTTATGCAACACAACAAACTCAGAAGAAAGAAAAGCGTTTTCATCCTTGAGGAGCAGCTCTACTCGTCACTCTACAGCCAAGCTGACAGAAACATTTATTACCTCCTAGATCATCAGCCACCAGGAACACCCAGTTCATTTGCGTGATAAGCAACAGAAAAGGAATTGACCACAATGGAACAGTACACCGACTGACCCTCTTGATAACAGAACCTCATACCATCTTTAGTCAGCCTTCATATTGGTTGTATTTTCAAAGTGATAATAAGTAGCTATTGAAAAGGCAATTATTACCATTGGCCTGTACTGATTTTTAAATGTCTCTTTCTCTTTCTCTATAACATAGTATAGTGCAGTGAAAAGCTAGCATCCAGTGCCCACTGTGTAACGTCAGCCCTGTAATTATATTTCGTACTACCTTTCTGCTACTCAGCAACCACAAATGGTAGGTTAAACAAGGCTGTGTTTTCATTTTCTTTGACGTATTTGAATTCTAAAAGGCTGAAGTGCACTGCCTTAAAAGCCCAAGCTGTTTTTGGAATGCCGATGTCCTGAAATTTAGCTTCAAATTAAAAACTCCAACATAACACTTAACATTCCTCCTCACTGCTGGAATGTTGAGAAAATTTACAATGCTCAGCTTCAGGCTCTGGAGCATGAGATTTCCCACCCTGACTCTGCTCTTCATTATCCTTACCCTCACCACATTTTTGCTCAGCTACACATACCATGATCCATCAACAACATACTTTTATCTCCTTAAGCTTTCTGGAGGAGCAACTGAAAACCTACCCAAAAGGGTCTGTGCGTGCAAGAGATGTATTTCAGAGCCTGATATTGTCCCCTGGTTCGATGAGCGTTTTAATCAATCCATACACCCTTTGATGTCCAAGAAGAACAGCATCCTTTCTGAAGACACCTACAAATGGTGGCAGGTAAGTTTCTGTGCCCAATGAACAAGATCAGGAGTTGTATTATTGGAAGAGCTTAGGCTCAATGGAAATGATATCAAATCCTAAGTCTAAGTACTGTACCTCAAGCATGTTCATTATGCATTACTTTAGATTCCTCTGGATGGAGGCACTCTAATGCAAGTATCACAGACAGGATTTCCAGTTAAGACTGGATGTTTGTCAAAACACTGTCCAAACCTTTTTAGATAAAAACGGCACAGCTCAGCCTTATATATCTAGGATTGATAATAAGGTTTGATATTTGTGGTTGTGAGTCGCAGAATGTTACCAAGATGGACATCAATTAGGCTCTATACATACAGTATAAACTGTATCTGGCTATAGAGAATATTCTTGCCAAATCAATAGAAGTCTTCAAAGCACTTCCCTGGTGAGCTCTGAAGTTAAGGTTAATTTAACCTTAATTGTTCGCCAATGATGCAGAAAAATGTAATTAAAAGCTTTTAATATGTGCTTCTCAAACAGACCAAGCTTCAAAATAATATTTTGATAGTAGAGTGCATTTCTGAAATAATTCTGAATTTGAAATCTGAAAAAAATAAATCTGAACTCTTTAGTGAATTAGGTTGGCCAGTCATATCAACTGAAAAACCCAGGTCAGCTCACCTTACAGGATATGTCAGGTCATTGAGAGTTTTTTTTTTCTTTTTTCACATGAAAACTGCTTCATTTCTTACCATCAGAATGGTAAATTAAATGGCTTCATTCAGCTCATGCTTCAGCAAGAAAATTTGTAAGCTGTCTGTAGTTGAGTGTTCTCGACTGAATAGTTAATTGTTTTCACAACTGTTCTTGTCACATTTCCCAACTTGATCAGTTTTGCCCAAAGAAACGTAGAGCTGCCATCCAGTTTTACTCACTGTCATTCTTGGACTGCTATATTATGGTGAACTGCAACACTTAGCAAGGCAAATCAACCTCAAATTACCAATTCAGATAGTCATGACAGATGCAGCTTTAAAGAAATCAGATCTTTTGTTTATCAAGGGGCCTCAAGGAGCTCTTATTCATGACATGGAAATAATCCTCAACACCCTTTAATAACAAGTGAACTGTGCCAGTGCTTTCGTAATAGCAATTGAATTAAGACATAAAAAATCCTCTACCCTCCAGGGGGTTATATTCTTTGCTGTGCTGATAAGCTACCCTTTTCTGGACTGTCTATTGATTTTTTTTTTTTCTCCAAAAAACATGTTGATAAAACTGACTTCATCACATTTTCCATCTGCACTCACTTGTGCTATATAATGGACTTCTGTGCATAGTTCTGTGGCATGTTGTTAGCGTGGGAGAACTGAAACTGAGTGCATTGAGCTGTCAAGAAGCATCCACATGGGAGTACAAGTGTAAGTAGACAGCTCTTTCCTGAATACGTCTGCAGTTACCGGTTCAACCAGAGGGGGAGCTGTCCAGCACTGGAAGAGTAGTCTTTGCTCTCTCAGGTGGACTTGGCACTTCTGCAAAACTGATAGCATCCATGCTGCTGGTGAGGTAGCTGAGGAATGAAGAGGAGCTTCACCAACATGGTTATAGTATTAGTAACTATGAGAGCACAGGAGGAAGGTTAGTGCTCAGAAAGTGATGTTCAGCCCCATGGTGTGTGTCAGCATGGGTGGAAGTAGTGGCATGCCTAGCACTGAGGTAAATGAGAGCAGTATTTAAGGGTTTTGGCCAGGAGAGGAGTTGAGGGTTAGCAGGTGTTCAGTTTCCCTTTCTCTTCTGTAACAAAGTTGGCAAACTCAGTAACTGCACTAATACAGACACTATGGGGAAAGAAGAGTGCACCTTAAAATGGGATGATTTTATTGTGCCGTGAACCTGATGAAGACTTTTTGCCAGCTGTAGCTTGGGGAGCCTGTTTTTATGTGTTGTTTATTTGAGAGAGACTTGTCTCCACACATTAATGAATTAGTACACTTTCCACATCTGGAAGATGACCAGATGTAACAAACTTAAGCTGTCTGACAACTCTAAGCTTTTCTACCAAAACAATTTGAATTGGTAATTTGAAAATGAATTGATAGCACGAGAATATATTGGAACATTTCCTTTGCAGATCTTAGGGCAACTGAATTATCAAGTTAACAAATAGTAGTTTGGATGCCTACGGTGATGCAGTACACTGTGTTGAACGATTCAGCCATGAAGAGTCTGGAATAGAAGGGAAAGAGGTTGATGCGTTACATTTAGTTTATTCTATGAGCTAAGAACTGAGGCCAGGCTTTTAATTAACGTATTAAAGAGGCAGGGGTATGAGTTTCTTTGTTCTGTTCTTTTTGTTCTTATACTTGAGGTTTCAAACATTACTATGCAGCATTATGCTAACTTAATTTTAAAGGTCAATTTAAAACATTCTTTTAAATTGAAGCTGGCAAAGTGTTTCAAGCACAATATAATTGAATAACCACGGTGACTACAAGGACAATTAGATTGCAGACGCAGCTTAGGCGTAGTTTAAAAGTCAATTACTATATCTACTTCTGAATTAAAAGCCCAAATACAGGGAAGGTTCTTGCTGTGTCATTTGTAACTTAAAAGAAAGTATTAAGTTTCTGCTTGATAAAACACTATACCTGATGCCACATTTTGGCTTCGCATAAATCTCTCCAACATGGTTTCTGAATAAAACTTAATGTAGTTGTCTATCACAGTGAAAAGCACTACAGTTCTTGCCCATGTTCTTGTATCTGTCACATCTTGTATCATTCTTTTAATACATCTGTCTTTACTGCATCAAGTATTTTGTTTCAGTCTGTCTCCTTCACTGTTACCATTATTCTTACATACTGTATTTACTGTCTGGCTGAAATAAGAATTGGATTGAAAAAGAGGCTATTTGGCCATTCTAGCTGGTTTGGTTGTTAGTATCTTATTAAAGGTCTCATCCACCAAGGGTAACAGCTTCAACAATATGTTATATAACTTATTCCTTTCTCCCATCTTATAACACAAAACTGGTGTTAAGGGTATTTTTGCAGCTTTAACTCTTAGGGTAAGGATTTGCACAACCTTTTTGTATTGTTCATTGTTGGCATTTGTTCTGTTTGGATGAAAGGTGGAGTTTCTAATTCTGTTTGAGAAAAATTATCACATTGCACCAACACAGTATAAATACCATCCCATTAAGTTAAACACAATTGTGTGTGTTGGCTTCTACCTAACAGTATTACTAATCTTCTAAAATGATTTACTGATTCAGTGAATCGTGCATATATCGAGAGGTATAAGTGCAGCACTTGTTATATTAAAACCTTCCATGTTTTTCATTCACATTGAAAACATAACCAAGTCTCTGATAAATGCTGAGTGTATGGACAACAAAGTTTTAATAATATTGTTTTGATTGCAGTTTAACCAAGTAGACCTTTTCAATTTATTTTGTGATTATGGCTCTCAGCTGTTTTGAGCTACACGTCAGTTCTTCAAACGTAGAAGTACAGAAGTACACTCAAGAATCTTAGATGTATTCTTTTATTTTTTACTGAACTTAAAGAGAAATAAAGAAGCCACCCAGGGTTAAAAGCCTCTTGTCCTTATTTTGTTGTTCACTTCACAGCGGCTGCAGTCAGAAAACAATCCGGCCAACTACACAGAGGTGGTGCAGAGACTGTTTGAGGTTATCCCTGGGGAGGAGATGTATGTGGACTGGGGCTCGTCGCGCTGCAGGACCTGTGCTGTGGTGGGAAATTCTGGGAACCTCAAAGGATCCAATTATGGTGCCCAAATTGACTCACATGCCTTCATTATAAGGTAATTAGCATTTAAAAGGCACAGCTTCTCACACTACCAGTCTGGTTAAAGGAATTAGAACTTATGCTACAAAAAATCAATAAAATCAATTATCGCAAACCCTTAAATGGTGTACAATCGCACACAATTTTTTTTCCCTTATAGTCATTCAGGCTTTAAATTTTTTTTCCAGCGAAACCAGCAGGATCATAGCTAATAGGTCTGAAATCTCACCTCTTTTCCTTGTCAGTTGTCACTTCATCATCTGCTGCACTGCTTGTGTCTCAAAGCTGTTCCATTCACTTTGCACCTGTCTGGTTTCCAGCCTTCCACACTGACAACCACATCAATTGCAAAGAGGAGCACTGTCCCAAGCATAAGGCTGTGCTATTTGCAAAATAATTATATCTTTTCAGTTTCTTTCCCAGAAGTGTATGCAAATTTACAATCCATTGTTACAAATGTAAATGGAATTTTAAATGTCTCGTTTTCTTTAATGGAAAACACTGTATAACCATTCTGTCATCCATATGTTTGTTTTAAAGGCCATGTGCAATATTGTGCTCTCAAAAGCATTATTTTAGTTTTGACTATGCATTCTAAATGGCCCAAAAGCTAAGCATTCCGCATGGTAATATAGGTAATTTACACAGTGTCTTTTTATTAATGCATAAGCAGTAACTACAGAGAAACATTCATTTAGATAAGACATTTCTCTCAGCATTTGAAGGTTTTCACTACAGCAATTGTAAAAAGTTTAAATAGCCAAGAATTACACATTTTTGGTAGCAACCAACCATCCCTGCACATACTATATAAATAAACAATTAACTCTGTAGAGTTTCCGTTCTGAATCAGATTCTACTTTGTTTTTGTCTATACTTTAGACATTTGCTAAGCAAGTGAAAATGTTACACTGTGAAGCTACTGTTTCCTCGTTTTATCCATCCATCCATTTTTCTAACTGCTTCAGGATTGTGGGAGAGCCTGAACCTTTTCCTGGAGAGCAATGGGCCAAGGCAGGTACACCCTGGATGGGATGCCAGTCCATCACAGGGCACACACAGACACAGACACACACACATACTCACACCAGGGCCAGTTTTCCCAGAAACCAATTAACCTACCAGTGTGTCTTTAGACTCTGGGAGGAAACCCCCATGAAAATTGGAAGAACATACAAACTCCTCACAGATAGCTATGCAGGTCTAGAATTGAACCCAGGGCCCCAGCGCTGTGAGGCAGCAATGCTACCATTTTGCAGTGCTCCAACTTTAATGTTTATAATTTAATTTGAGAATGCATTTGTGTATTCAAATCAGAAAGTATTGTTTTATCCAGCTCACAGTGTGGATGGTTGATTGTCTTGTATATTGCCTCTTTCCCAAAAATGTATCCCACAAGTGAAATGTATAAAATACTTATTAAAATCCTTTGCCAATTGTAGTATGATGCTATATATACATATAGATATCACATCCAAGGTTAAAACTTATTATTTGAATTTCGTATTGATGTTTTTTAATGAAGGACTAGCTAGCACCAGTTTCATAATAAATAAAATTCTAATATGCATTCCTGCAGATAACCTTGAAAACATATTTGAAGGCGTACTTTGGTCTAATCATCACTGTCTTCTTCCACTTGAAACTACATAAAAAATCCTTTCTACTGCAGCTGAAATCATAGCTTAGTTTATCAGGCAGTTTTAAGCAATTATTAACTGTCAGACTCCAATCAGGTTCTTTGTGAACTTTTTTACGTGTTTACATTAGCTTCAGTCAGCTATGGTTTTTTGCATATACTGGGATATTCAAACAACCAGTGCAGCTTAAAATTAACATCACTGTAAATTTCCCAAGGCAGTTGAAAAAGGTTAATTGAGATCTTTAACATTCCACCTGTCATGCATAAATAATACAAAATTACTTGAATTTGTTGAAATATGGATTTCAAATAACATTGACAGTAATCATGTATATTAAGCTCCCATACCAAGAACTTACAGAGCGTCAGGGTCTTTTGTCAGGGTTTTTTAGCTGAGAAATCTTAACTCTGAGATCCACTGCACAGATTGTTTTCAATCAGCAGGATCTCTTTTCTTTAATTGACTGCTATTTTATGTTGTTCAATTTAGGGAGAAAAGTGGTTCATATATACCTAACACAGCTCATTCTTTTCCTTTTTGCATTACAGTCCTTTTAGAGTTTTTTTAAACTTATTTTAATTGTACCTAGGAACACGCACACATTGCAATATTTGTAAATGTACTGTAAAATCCCTAATATACTTTTTTTAACAAGGAGATAGTTAAAGGTCAGAAGCATTGGAGTGTTGACATACAGAGTGACATAGTGGCATAGTAGGCACTATTATTGTGATTTTAATGAGTTAAACTCTGCATGTCCATATCTGTTTCATAATCATTAATGATCATTAATAATAATCCTGAGCACAAATGCTAACCAATTACCCATTGATTCTGAAGTGAAGGTAAAAGTAAGCCAATAGGTCTTTGCTTTCTGAATGCAGTATTAATATTCACTGTTTTGTTTTAAAAAGTAATTAATTGTGCACTTAAATACAAACAGTAACCCTGCACTCTGATGGCATATGTAATACACTTGCAGTATAATTGTATTATACACACCTATACTCCATGAATTCCAGTTCCTTAGCTCTTGTAATTTGTAATTCAAACAGAGTAGAAGCAGTACACAGGGTGCTTCTCTTCCATATTTGAATATTTTACATTCTGTCAGGCTTAAACAAATAAGAAGTCAGTTCATCTTTAAAAACCCATGTGTTCTTTTGACTATTTTAGGCAGCATAACTAAATAGGATGTTTCTAAAATTAGCTTGTGTATTTAAATAGCCATGTGAGTAAAACTGTGCATCATGGAGAAATGAAATTTGGTAAAGGACATTAGCAAACATCCAATAAACAAATGTAACAATTGCAATGACAATAAAAGTACATGCTAAAGTACACTGCAAAATGTTTATTAGTGAATTAACCTTAGATGTGCTGCACACTCTCCAATAGGCACTGAAGTCATTTTTGCCCCAGGGTGTGTACTGTCATTGTTCATGGAGATGTGTTCCCTGTGGTCCCATTAATATAGTATCTGCAAAGAATTTCTACATGGTACACAGTTCTCATTATATGTTTTGCTTCGATAAGGTCAACTAAACCTTAAAGCACCATTTATTGTCTTGCACATTTTCCTTACAATTATGTTGTTTTTTTTTCCTGTACAGTTTACTTTATTTTTTATGTTTTCATTGAAACATACATAGATACACATTTTCAATAGCTCTAGTAATTCTCTTAAGTCTTACAAAGCATAGATATTTCTGTAATTTTTACATTTACATTTTTACAGTAAATGCACAGGGCTTCCTCATTAGAATTAAATTCATAAGCCTAGAAAAATGCACCCATACTTTATAGTTCAACCCTGAGTGGTAGGCTGATATTTATACAGTACATTGGGCACTAAAACAATAAATAATGCAGTAATTCTGCTCTTTCTGGGAATGTTCGTATTACTGTGTTGTAATTCCAAATTAAAAGAGTGCTAAAAAGTCTGTACATTTTCTTAGAAAACCATATAAAAAGGTCTGCAGTGTTTTCTAAGAAGGACATTAGCAAACATCCAATGACAAATTTGCCAAGGTTTGTTGAAGAAAAAATAAACTAACGTCACTTTATGTATTGCTTATATTTGTTTACTCTCACAATATTTCAGTTATTGTTGATGTAAGCAATTATCTGGTAACATATCATATAAGACTATAATATTTTATCCTGTTTTAATGGAAGGTTTTTGGTGATAGTCTTTCTTGTCAAACTTTGAGTCCCCCATTTCTACGATTAATGTTTCATCTGAAGATTTCCTTGGAAATTTTAGTCTACAGAGTATCATTATTAATCTTGACAATGGCAGACTTCCCTAGTTCTTGCTGGTAGCTGAAAATACAATAACCAATCTTATTGATGGCCACTACAAACAGAAGTGTAGAATATATCTTTCCATCATTTTTTTAACTGTTGTATTCAATACAGGGGAGTCTATCCCATGAAGCAATGGGAGCAAGGCAGTTTACACACTGGATGTGTTGGCAGCCCACTGCAAGGCACACAGACACAAACACTCCTGTTTTCTCAGAAGAAAATTAACCTACCAGTATGTTTTTGGATTGTGGGAGGAAACCCAGAGAACATGGGGAGAACATACAAACTCCACACAGATAAATGGAACTGAATCCAGGGCCCCAGATTTACGAGGTAGCACTACTTCCCACAATGCCACAGTGGTGCCTCTATCCATTATGTAATAAATGCACAACAAAAGCAGAACCAAAAGTATGGTTCATGTATTGAACAGTTTTTCACCAAATGCAACATTGTATAAATTGTTTATTTGTAACCACAGCTCTCTTTGTCATGATTGGATTGGCTATTCAGTAATTCAGTTGTCTGATTTTATGGAAGTGTTACATTACACTTATGATTTAAGTATCACATTTCTTCTAGGAGACATACATATAAGATCGTTACCATTTTTAAGGGTAGCTATTGAGAACGAAAACGTTAAGCATGTTGTTCATGCTGTCAAATACCTCTTCGTTATCTTTTCTTGACTACTGTACTTCTAGAACAGCTAAGAAACAGCTACTGTATATGGCGTATACAGTAGATACAGTATAATAATGCATAATGGAAGTGTAACAGTGTACAGTATGGTTTATATCAGTAGCTCATTTGCCACATAATGTTATTCTTTTCAGAATGTGAAATAATAGGTGTGTTGATTGAGTCATATTATCCTATTCCTTGGAATAACAAACTATTGAACTGTTTCATAAAAACACCAGGTGCTTAGTGTTCGGTATTTGAGTTGAACTAAAACTCCCCAAAATGAGTAGTTTAATAATCTGATTCAAATACTCATTCATAAAGACATTAATTAACACAAGAACAGCAAAAGATACAACCTTGCCAGGCTTGCATAATGAAGATCACCTGGTTGCTGTCAGTGTGATTGAAGGAATTCTGCCTGTTATGGTTGTCCAAAGAAAGAAATGTTCTGTTTCAACAGTGATTCACATGTTCAAAGGTCATTCAGTGATAGCTTTTTGACAGCTGAGACTTCATGAACCAGGGGATGTCTGAGGTGGTAGCCAAGAGAGTGTTTTTTTTACCAATTAATACTGTTTTGCGCTTGTCAGACCGGATGGAAGTCAGATCATTTATTGCTGTCATGGTGAGGTGTGGGGAGAGATCTGTTCTAACACAAGAGCACATTTAATGCACTGCATTAACATATTCCTTTCTAAACATCTAAACATTTAGAATTTTCTGGCAGGGCAGTGCAAAAGTACACAGTACAAGGATCACAGATTAACAATGCCAAAAAAATTATCTTGCTGGGAGCAGCTTTTTCTCCTGACTTGTTCTGTTGAACTCATTTCGCTTTCATAACCAGAACTAACCAGCCTTCACCAGCTGGCTGTGGCTATATGGGAAGAGGGGCAGAACATCTCACATTTTATCTGTGTTCTGCTCATTTATATATTTTATTATTCATGTGGCTAGTGTTGGTCTTTGAAATGTCTAATTGTATCTGTAGTGAAAAGGAAGACAATAACTCCCTTACAGTTTTGTCATAAATAATTCTGTTCCAGAAGTGTTGATGTTTTTGAATGTTTCTATTCTGCTGTCAAAGCATAACCTCTTTTAAAACTATTTTGCTCATTTATGAAACTATAATCCCCCCCAGGGATTGTATTTTGGCAAAACACAATGATTCTTTGAATTTTGTGCAAAGGCTTTTTGCCACTGCACATAATCGACTCCATGCTTTCTGGATGTGAATGAAAACTGCCAAATAAAGCTGAACAATGAGAATCAATTTAAAAGCCATTGTGCAGTATATTTTCCTTAAGAATATAAAACATTTTAAAATGGAAAAATATGTAAACTGTGCTTAGAATACAATCTAACTGTGTAGTACACAGTTTCTATTAAATGTCTACTTTTAAGTTTGGTACTTGTGGGGAAAATGTTAAAATGCTTCAAGCTAAATAGCACTTTAGAAGCTTTAAAACTGTTACTTCCTTTTCTTTCTAGAATGAACCATGCTCCAACTTTTGGATATGAAAAAGACGTTGGGAGTAGAACTACTCATCACCTCATTTACCCAGAAAGTGCCAAAAACTTACCAAACTCAACCATGTTGGTGTTGATTCCCTTTAAAACTCTTGACCTACAGTGGATCATCAGTGCACTAACCACAGGAACAATTAAACAGTAAGTGAAGAGAGACTTGAGACTTTATTTTTGGAATTTAGAATTCTTTTTTAGTGTTTAGTGAAAACTCTTTTTCTAGTTTTTAATGGCTGTCTTTCAGTAATTCAGATTTCAAATCCCTATTACAAGTTAAAAGTGAATAACTTTTTCTGTTACACTTGTAGCCAGTTACGCCTTCAGCAGATGTTGCGAAGCTACTGAATGATGTTGATATTTTCTTAATGACTACCCACTCATTATGGTTCACTGTAGTGTGTTTCCTTTTCCCAGGCAATGGGATAATACAGCAGACTATTCCCTGTTTTGACTCTCTGTTTCAAGATGGAGAGTCTTCCAGACCAAAACCGTAAAGCTCTTACTTTGTGTAGCTAGAGCTAAAACCATGTAGAGTATGTTTGATTTCGGTTTTGGGTCATGACTGATTAAATTTCAACTTTTTAAAAATATAAAATCATTTTCATTTTTGCTAGCACAAAGGAGACTAGTACTTCTATTTTATCAAAACGTATGCTGCTTGAGTCATCCTCTGTCATTGTGCTGTGCATCTAACTGAAGAAAAAAATCACAACACCTTAGTTTAATATTGAAGTATTAATTCTTACTACCAGTATTCATGCCCTTGATGAACTGTAACTAAATGTCTAGTTAGCACTAACATCCAGGTGTAGATTCCCATTGTGGTGTTAAGTTTGCATCATTCAATTTCAACACATTTGTAGGGTATGAATGAATGTGAACATTGTGTATTTATAAATACATGTAATTATTTTTTTACAAATGTGCTATTGATACAGGCAGTGGGTTTCATACATTTATTAAATTTTAATTCCTAAATGCTGTAAAATATGAATGTACAGTATATAATTAAACTTGGGGTTTATGAAAATTGTGAGTAACCGGAATTTGTCAAGCAGCTTCGTCATTAACTAAAACAAAATAATCATAACCCCCAATTTGTAAAGATTTTGCCAAGAATATACCGAAGCAGTTGGTATAATTAAGAGGCTCATAAGTTCTAACACTCAGTTACACCAATATTTATTAACAATCCTCTATGCTCACACTACATTACATACAACATATACAAACAACACACACATTTCCCTATGTACAAGTTTACAGACAAGGCATTTCAGACACCTATGTCTAGACCAGCCAGAAAGCCCCAGACTGCAACTCAGTATTTGACTCGTAAATAATGCCTAAAAGAAGAGAGAAGCTGCCTTCTAAACTAAATATAATACAACCTATGATTAAATGTCTGTCTCTGCAAACCCAAAAACCTCAAAATAAATGGGAGACTATATTTATTACTATCTCCCCATTCTAAAAAGCACCCACTAAGCATGTAAGGCTGTTTTAAACTGAAGAATTCCAAGTTTCCTAAAAGCTGTAGAATAGCAAACTCGGGCTTTGAGCTAGGCTCAAATACTTAGCTCCAATAGGGTCTTTTCAGATGACCTCCCTCCTAGCACACACTTCAAGTTCTCCATTTGCTCCTGTCTCCTCTCTCTTGTGGTCTCTACTTTTTCCCTGTTCTGTCTAGATCATTTATCCTACACTTCTGACACTCTTAATCATTTACCCAGAACTTTATCAACTAAGGTAAACCAGAATATTCTTTTGATCACTGTGTCTCATAACCAGAACAACAAAGTAAGCTTCCCTTAGTTTGAAGCTCTAGGAAGTGGAAATATTGACACAATCTTCACTGCATTGTGTCTAAATTCTTAGAGACACCTCCATTGTTATCCATCAGCCTGTAACAAAGTTTACATTTTTGTTGCTAGGTCAACTTTTTAGTTCACGGAGTTCATGAATAACTTCTACAGTATGTTGGGAATCAGCATGTCTTTATCTTTTTTTACTCAACAGCACGTACATGCCAGTGTTATCCAAGATAAATGTCAAGAATGACAAGGTCAGTGTTTATTTCTGTTTAAGTGTTTAAGACATTTCATTGCCAGCAACTACTGCTGCACGCTGTATTGTTGTGCATTTGAAAAATAAACTTTGATTTGATTTATTTTGAAGGTAGCTAAATGTGATATTGTTTACATTCCTAAAAGATTCACAATTAAAGTCAAACTTAAATCACTAATATACTAATCATGGTTTTGTAGGAACAGTGTTAGTTTTTTCCTTAATCAGAGAAAGGAGATTGACCCTGAACTTTCACTGAGCAAATGACAGTGATCTTACTTAGTCTAAAAACCACAGTGATAGCTAACAATGTTTCATGCCTCTGACTGTAGACTTGCTATGACATTCCAGGAGTCTAAAACGTTTTATGCCATAAGATATATAATGAGTTATCAGAAGCAATGTACTCATTTTAAAACTGTGCTTTGGATGCAGGTCCTGATCTACAGCCCTACATTCTTCAAGTATGTTTTTGAGAACTGGCTGGAAAATCATGGTAGATATCCTTCCACAGGTTTCCTTTCAATAATGTTTGCTGTTCATCTCTGTGATGAGGTAAACTGACCGCTACCTTTTGTTTTTTTGTTGTTACAGTTATATTTGAAATCTAGGAAGAATATCAGTCTAGATATTCACGCCAACATATATCTTCTTTTCAATTTGTTTCATTATGATGACAGCAGTGGGTATTGTATTAACCCATAGCAAGATTCCAGTGGTTCATTGCTGTTCAACTCTGTTATGTATATAGCATAGTTCTTCTTTTGCATGGACTATGTAGGAAGTTTATCTATTCTGTCCTGCTGACATCTGAGACAATTCAGAATGTGTTTTGCATTTTATTACCTTTTGCTCTTAGCAGTAAAAAGCTTCCATGAACCTCTAAAAATGTCATCCTACTGACATCTAGTGGTGGTGCTGTGCTCTACAATTGTTTGATGTAGTGTATTCACAGACTGGATTCATACGATTTAATCATATGAATACAATCTGTATCTATCAGATATGGACCTGTTTTTAAAACCATTGTAGAAATGTAATCACAAGTTTCTTTTACTAGGTGAACGTTTTTGGATTTGGTGCAGATGAGAAAGGAAACTGGCACCACTACTGGGAAAACAACCCTTTAGCTGGAGCCTTCAGACAATCAGGAGTCCATGATGGAGATTTTGAATACAACATCACCATTTTGCTCTCCGAGACTGGCAAAATTAATATTTTCAAAGGCAGATGATGCCTGGACAACCAGGATGACTTTTCATGAATGGAAACAGGTATAATTGAGCAGCCTTAATACAATTTAAACATGGAGAGGAAAAGTGGAATGGGAATCTCTTCATAGCTGTTTACAAAAGAAGGGAGCTCTTGTTAACTCTGAAGAGTTCAGCAGAACTACTCTGAAGAATTAACATCAACACTGTTTAACAAACGTGGAGTCTCTGGGATGCTTGTCCTACATATTCTGATGGAAGTGAATATTTGCTAATCACACACAAAATTATGTATATTGCTGTTATAGATGGTTGGGAGATTTTAAATACGTGCAGACTGCCACTGTTTCTGTGTGGAAAACTGTTGGTTACTTGACAATAATTGTCTTGGGCAACATGGGCATCTTAGGCCCTGTAGACAACATAAGGTGGACATTTTCAGACAGGCCTTTGTATGCCAGCAGTATGAACAATAATAAAATAAAACATTAATGTTAGCAATTTCTTGACTTTAATATTTTATATTGTTTTTAATCAGATTTGGACAAAGCTTAGTGGTTTTATAAACCATTTTTTAAAGAAAAATATTTACAGTTTTACCAAATACTTTACAAACCTTTACCAATGGAAAAGTTGTGTTATGCTAAATGTTGGAAAGGGTCTATCAATGCTTTAAAATAGACTTTTTATTTGTTAATGAATTTTAGTGGGTTGTATGTATTGCCAAAAGCAAGAGTTTTGGAGTGTACTGCTAAAGTGGACTGATAAGCCAAACTGAGCAGCTGTTTAACATAACCAGAATTGTGATTAAGCACCAACTAAAATATTTACTTTTATTTGTAATAAGTCACATTACACTGAGGCTTTTAACACTGTTTTCATTTAGATATATTGAATTTTTAAGCCGTTATCCCATCAATATCGCAGACTTGGAAAATCTGACATTTGTCAAATCTTTAAAGCTATTTATTTTAAGATGTAATTTGGTTTCAAACTAATCATTACTGTATTATCAATACATGGCCTGATATCTGTTAGAGAAATTCAGTATGTATATGGTATGTGTGGTGTGGCCTGCTGCATGAAGCATTACTATAGTGAGAAATGTTTATACAGTAAAAACCCAAATTCTATTAGACAAATACTCAAAATGTATCGCTTCAGTACAATGGACACTACAATTAAAAGCTGAATTAGTCATTTGTAATTAGGAAGGGTATTACAGTTTACATTGAAAGCAGGTGTAATAATAATAAATTATAAAATTATTTTTTGGAAATTATGAAACAGTATCAACAGTGTAATTAAGGGACATTTTGTCCTAAATCATTGACCTTTGACCTCACCATTAAGGACTCTTGCTTTTGGTTCAGAATTCAGTATAAATGCCTAGGTAATGAAGTCATTTACTGAAAGATATGAATAGGTAGTGGGCCAAATTAATCAAAATGTATGCACTTTGATTTCTTGACTGGCTGGTTGCATGCTGAATTTTAAGTGTGAAGTATAAAATGTTGTTCTAAAGTCTGTGTTGCCCTTTAGTGAACATTGTATGTGAAATTTCTAGTTTTATGATCTTGTAATTCCTTATCTTTCATTGAACTTTTTCTAGTTCTCATGATGACAGTTCATTTAGCCTGTATTTTGTCAGCTTCCTGAATTCGTTTTTTTTTCATTATTCCATTGCACTGTGTAGAGACTGCAAAGTTCATGGTAATGAGGCTTTTCAGGGGATATTTATAATTGTTATGGAGGTCTATAAATTAGTATTTAAGGCTTTGCTGAGCTTGACTGGTTGGGAACCGTTAGTAGAAAATTTATTTTCACATAACAAATCTGTAAAGAGGTTCTTGAACTGTGGATTTATATTTTTTTTATGAATGTCCCAATTTGCTGCCCTCCAAAAGTTAATATTATCTGCTTTCATTATTTATAGTCTTTGTTTCTAATCAGCCTAAGGGCAGACTTCAACTATTTACAAATTTGGAGACATGGAAGGAAATTGAAGGGACTGCAAAAACCACAGGCACACCAGGAGAGCTTGGAAAGCACACATACAGTATAGACTCTGCATCTTGTAATAATGGAATGAATTGCAAGTGAAAGGTTTGTCTATTATGTTTTAGGTTGCTTACTTTCAACATTGAATATTTATTATATTCATTAACAGTTGTATTAAATAGGTTTAGTAATTGAACATTTTAGCTTATCTCATGATTTGAGTTATGTGGCAAAAGGCCTTTTGTGTTATTTGGAGTACTTTCTGTGCCACTTGTGATTCACATTGACAATTCACCATATGATAGTGGCTTTAGGCATATTCTTGCAGTATTCTAATGAATCTACTTTTATAGAATCATAATTATACTTAAACATTTGCTTGTTACATTTCCTTGTTTCATCTCTAAATCTGATTTACGATAGCATGTCTTTTTACAGATCACTCACATCAATAAAACATACCTTTAGGAGTCTTTTATATGGATCCATGCACAGATGGCTGTATGAATCATCCAAGCGATTGACTTAATTTCTTTTCAGAGCTCTTCTGGCAAGTTAAGTTGCCAGTTACAATACATTAATTTATCAGTATCGCATCTCCTTTTCCACTGTTTCTGTTTCCAACTCTAATACATAGTTAGAGGAGTGTAAAATAATAAAAAGGTGAAAACATGAGGCAATGATCTGTAGAATTTATCATTGGTAGTTGAAAGTAAGCAAGCCTAATTCTTGTGCACACAGAACTGCTTAATAGGGAAGGATCTTGACTCTTCTATGGAATTTAAACATTTCTGGAGTAAAATGTGTGGATATTTCACTTTTATGAAGGACACAACCAAGTAAGGTATGAAGTGTTTGTCAGATGTGCTAAAAGAGCCCATGCTGCAATATGTAACATGCATGAGCCACATTGGCCCACTATTATAAAGTGCCTTAATAATGTCTAATATGATTTTGAACAGATAGCAGTGAATTGTGCCTTCTTAATCTTGCATTACTTTTATGCCGTTTTTCTTTAATAACATGTAAATGGTATAGTGTTACTCTGTTGAAAGTGCGTTTTTTCTTTTTATTAGTAGTGGCTAAAATATCCCCTTGATTTTAGGACACTTGAGAAATGTTCCAGATAACCCCATTTTGCATCTCCTATTTTCAGCATAACGTACTATAACATTCCATTAAAGAATTTTCAGGGTAGGTGAAAGCCTTTTCACTGCAGTGAAATCAAAAGACAAAAGGATTTTCATTTTCGTCAATTTTCCATTTTTGATGGAAGGATGCATTACCTTTTCTATGAAGGATACGCTTCTTAATTAGCACGAAACTGAGCCTGATTTTTTTTTGTAAGGAAAATAAAGAAGTGTAATTCTCAGTTTAAAAGCTGCAGTATATTTATTTTGAGTGTGGTGCCATGAGATCCTGTTTTCCACAGACAACAGCACATTTGACGTTCAACATTATTCACAGAAATTCTGTGCGTCCTTGATTAGGCCAGTGACTAAGCACTAGCAGATAGTGCTTACTTTCGATATGAGGTGGAAAATTCTGCAATATTTATGATAAAACTAAATACAAAATAAAACAATGTTTCTGCCACTTGTTTTACTGACATTTCTCATGGAGACGCATTCATTTTTAAACCACTCACTCTTTACTGCATCAACATGGGGAATCAGAGAGATTTGTTTTGCTGTGCTAAACTTGGTTGTTTAATTAACAAACAAGTTAAGCTCATTAAAAGAAAGAAAAAGATAAGCAAATCTAATTTATACAGCTTTTGATTTGATCTAGGCCTATGTCTGTGAGTAGAACAGGATTCTCATAACTATTACATAAGGAGAAGCCAAACCATCCAGCACTGTGTCCTTTTCCATTATTTAATTTAGTCGTTCTCAAGTTTTAAGTGTATAGTTAGCAATCGGTGAAAGATATTTGGAACATGAGCTATAGCTCTGGTCTCTTTTCTGTTTTTTCATGCTCTAGCAAAACTGGGTAAAAAGAAAAAAGAAAAAGATACCAATTATGGAGTCATCTTCAAGAAAAAAAAATCTTTACGTGGAGATTATTCTTCACATCTCCCTAACTAATCACATCACATCACTTCAAGTGAAAGATTTGATTATCAAGTTCTAGTATATTGAAGTGGCATTTCTTGATTCTTTAATGACACAAAACTAAGTTTCTGATAACCTTAATTAGTTTTAGTTGAATTTTTCTGCTTTAATATTTATATAGCTTTTCTTCTCTCAGCCACAACCTTAAATTTTTCTTATTGGGTAGAAAAGGAGGTATTTTGCACATAATATCACTTGAGTAAAATCATTTTTAAAATGTGAACATTCAGTTGATAAAAATAATGTTGTACAGCTGTAATCCTTTTCCAGCATAAATTAGTTGTGAGAGACGTGGGTTTGAATTTTTAAGACTGTTTTCTATGAAACCTCATAAAACTGACAATAATTGTAAACAATGAGTAATTTAGTGTTATGTGTTTTGTGATTTCCCTTTACTCGCCGTGCCTTCGACTTAAACTAATGTGGAATAAGTGTGAGGCGCTTTGTTTAATTTTATGTCTTTGTATTTTTAAAATGCTGCTGGTTCCTGTTTTTATGCTTTATAAAATGAATCATCGGTAATGTGGGATAAGGCTTTTTTTCATTATTATGGGTACTTTCTGTGACATGAGCATTCATATCAATCATTGACTGTCCCCCACATATTGATAGCTTCAGTTTGTACATTGTTCTTATTATATTTCAAAATTATTTTTAAAAACACTATAATTATAATTATTTCTTGGCTTGTCCCCTTGTTCCATCTCCAAATCTGTTTTTTGGTAGAATGTTATACATCGCTCAAATCAATAAAAACACCTGAGTCTTTTCAGGACTTATATACAGACTGTTGTGTGAATCATACATTTGACTGACTGACTTTCTTCACAATTTTATTTGACTATTTAACACTGGTCAAATTTACAAATACAGTACAATAACTTAATTGATCAAAGATGCATGTCCTTCTGCACTGTTTATGTTTTTATTTCCAATCCTGAATAATTTTAGTCGGGAACATAAGGAAAATATCTGGGTGAAATACCTACAAATACATATCATTGATAATGTATTAGGTTATGTTATTTTTCTCAGTATTGTAAGAATAAGGTGGGAGCACAGATTTCTAAATTAAGGGTTATCTGCTAGTATTTAATCAACTTTTTACTTTTTAATTTTAACATTTTATTGTACATAGTAAGACTTTTTGCCCAACAAAGAAGCTGCGACGTGTTCTGAATTGTTCTGCTATAAGATTTCTGCCCTCCAGAAATTAAATATTTCAGTTAGATCTTGACCCATCACATACTGGCCAGGTAGCCTTCTTATATGCAATATCATGAAAAAACAAATGAAATCAAGGCCTGATTATTGCACATTTCAGTTAAGTCACAAATTCATTCACACACAGTCATCTACACATTGACCCAGTTTTCCCAGTGGCTGATTAACCTGCCAGTATGTTTTTGGACTGTGGGAGGAAATCGGAGCGCCCGGGGTCAAGGGTCATGCTAAACACTCTGCCACCATGCTGCTCTTTGCTCGTTTGTTGCATAAATTAAAGTAAAACCACAAAGAGATCAATCCAGTAATTGTTCAAATGGAGGATTGGACGAATTCCTCCAAACAGTTGATTATAATTGTAAGTGGCAATGTTTGTCTGAACTGTTCACATTATGAATTAAACAGTTTTCTGTTTATTTTATAATGTGAAAGTTAATGTTTTCTTGTTCACAGGTAGGTAATTGAAATATAGAAGACAGGATTTGCCTCCCTGTAAGAAAATATATTTAGACAATGCTTTCATGAACTGTAACTTCACAATACAGTATCCCTTACAAACACCTTAACCTCCAGTGCTCAAATGACCCCCTTATGATAGTAATTTCTGATTAAAGTTTGACAAGGTAGAGTAGACCCACAGTAAAGGGATGAGAAAGTGTTATGTAGTCCAGTTCCTCTCAGAGCCTGGACATGCATGGTCTCTAATTCCTAGATGCCACATATTGCCCTAGTTCATCCCACATTAATTTACGTGTTCAGTGGGATATGTAGAAACTACACAAACTATCACACTTAGATCTCCCTGTCAGTTGCTTTGTTGTACGCACAATTAGCATACTTTTCTGTATTCTTTGTCTATACAAAACAGCTATATTGTTTTTCAATGATGTCTCTTCAATGTGAAACAGAATTCAACAAACACTGGACTGTTTGTTAACCCACTAATAATAAAGAATGAGTCCTGGGTTTGACCATTTTACCCTACTGATATGCTCATTATGAGAGGAACTGCAGGTTCAAACATTTGGTGTCAGTGCTGGGCTGAAGAGCCGATGGTGCAAAGCTGCCATCCATGGGATTATTGTCTAAATCAGAATCCCCTTTAAAAGGTATTGATCCATTATTAAATATAAGATAAGATCACTTTATTAGCCACATAGAACTTATTGCATTAGGAATTTGTCTTTTCCAATACCCCAGCTTGTTCTCCATGAGACACACAGACAGGGAGAGAAGCTTGGGGTCAGAGCACAGGGTCAGCCATTGTAGTTGGGGTTAAGGGCCTTGCGCAGGGGCCCAACAGAGTAGGAATCCTCTGCCAGCCACGGGATTTGAACCAGCAACCTTCCAGCCACACGCACAGATCCTTAGCAACAGCGCCACTGCTCCATTGGACTGTTTCATCAAAGAGGTAAGTCCATCTGCAATGCTGAGGTAACATATCAACAGTACAAAGTCATTGTTCTCTTTTGAGTTTATTGGTTCATTTTTTTTCTTGAATATCATCATGATTGACATTCGGAAGATGAAGCCACCTCATGTGCAGTACACTAAGTGCTTATGTGCTTAAGCAGCACCTGACTATCAAGGTTAACCATGAAGGATTGAATTACAACCAAACACATGTATAGAGTGAGAAGTTTCTTTTAATTCTCGGTACATCATTTTTATAGATGAAAGTCTTCTTGCAGATGATAAAAATGTATGTGCCTAGTACTATACTTAAAATTTAGATCATGCAGAATTGCTATATATTTCAAAATATATTTCATTAAGATTCCGAAGAGACAGACGCAATAGTCTAATCGATTGTATGAGGAAAAGCAGAAGCAAAGAACCTGCTTGACTGTGGAAAAGACAAATTTTAACTTTTATGAGCTATTAAAAACATGTTCAACTGATAACGGGAGCCTTCAAAAGGTACGAAAAAAATGCATTGTCTTACTGTAACCCCATCAATTTAAATGTGATTCTCCCAGGACAAGCCCACTTTCCACTTCACCGTGTACTGCTGAGAAAAAGGTTGCTGAATAAGATGGTCCCATGTCAGTGGTAGGATTTTTTATGTTTTTTATGTTTTACCTTTTTTATTCCTGTTTATATCAAATGAAACTAACACATGATATGTTTTAAGACTCAAACAGAAGTATAAAACTTTTTGTATTTTGTGGCTGAATTGCAATTTTGCATATTGCTTTTCGTATTTTTTCCCCATTTTAATCAGTTTTCAGACCTTTTTTTAAAGTCACATATAAAATCAAGCTTATATATTACTTAGAAAGCTGTGTTCTATTGAATTGTAAAATTTCAGTATTTTGCAGAGCATTTTGTGGTTAACTTCCATTTTATGTTAACTAAGTGTAGTGTTTATATTCCAAAAAGAAAAGCCAGGCTCAGCCAATACTAGTACAGTAAGCGGCCCTGAATGTTGCTGTTGCCTTCTGGTAGCTTTTTCTTGGTTTTTACACACTAGGATTTAAAATGGAAGTGTCAACATTTTTTTCTGTTTATATATGTACCATATTAATTTTTAGGAAATTTTATTTATAGCAATCATTAGTTGTGATACTTCCTGAAACATTGAAAACAATCAAGCCAAACGTTTTGTTTGCAATAATATTTTTTTCACAAAGAAAATGCTGATGATCTGTCAAAATGAACTTTATAACAGTAAATAGGCAGGATAAGGATCTCATCTTCTTCCCAAACGTCTCTCATCTACAAAAGTATTGCAGGACTTTCACTTACCTCTTTTGCATCCCTCTTACCATCCCATCTTAAGTCTTGCAGTTAGCTCCCCAGCTCAATCCTCGCAATAGCGAGGCGAGGTTTGAGCAGATTATTCTCTACCGTAGGCTACCATTCCCTCAACTAGGTGAGTTGCGCGAGATAGTCTGTTTTGTCCCTCATATTCATTAGGATCTAACTAAACTACTGAAAGAAAATATACTAGACCTATCTGTGGAAACCAGTGATCATTTAATCAATAGACCATAGACCATTCTGCCTGCAAACTGCACGAGAGTTGCGAGTCACATAAAAAGATATTAAAGAATCTTACATTGACTGGGAAGGAGCTTACTGTATGTTAAGCTGAACATTTTGTGGAAACAATACGCTTGTGCTGCGTTGTAACTTATTTATCATCCAGGTGCATCTGGTATCTTCAAATGTAATATCTACAATTTAAAGATGGCTGAAGAGGGTATTTCGAGTTCGTATGTCTAGCAAAGGTAAAAGAAATCGCATTAAAACAGAGCCTGTACTGTTTTCCAGTAATGCAAGGAATTTCCAGATCTTCATTGTCGTTGCCTGTCCCATGACAATCAAATAGTAATGTGTGGTGGTTTATAATGTTTAACCTTTTAAAGTATTATCCCACTCCACGAAATTGTATGTACTGTAACTTAAATGTTTAGTTGTTTCACACATGATCACCTGAATGAACCATGTTTAAATCATGTATATAACATAACGGTAGCTTTTGTATGCACTTTTTACTCAATAAACTAAATACATATTTAATAGATTAAAGCTTTTTTTTTTTGCTTTCAGTAAGGTTTTACCAAAGAGACATTTTGCAACAGTTCACTGATTCCTAAGACACAAATAGGAAATACGTCAAGGAAAAACTATTGTTTTTTTGGGAAACTGCAGATGCAGCCCCCTTTTTAAGCTGCTCTTTCCTGTCAAAAAGCGAATACAGAGGTTCGGTAGTGGCTGCAATTATCATTCATACTAGACTCGTCCCCCATTTGTAGACTTTGGCCAGTTATAGTCCACCCCCTCTATCCCAGCAGAAGAGTAAGCCAGGCAGGTAATTTTCTTTCACCAAAGGGCTTCATCACCATTTTGTTTCAAAGAAGGTAAAGCCTCCCTTCATGTCTTTTAAAACATATTATTTACTCATCTGACAAGAGCTATCCACACATTGCGGCATATTTTCCTATCATTGTACCATTGTGGTACACTTTTCCTACCCCTTTCTTGAGAAAATATTTGCACCTTCCCCAAGTCACCATGGATGCCCTACTGGTGGCAATGAATTTAAAAACATGGACGAGAACATTTATCACTGTACATATTTCTTATTTTTTCATTGCTTATACAAGAAGGCTAATATATATACACAACTATATACATTATTTTGGTTTTGTTACTTGTGCTTTTTCCAATCAAGTTTTCAAAGTATGCACAAAGAAGAAGAAAAATGAATTCCTGCATGGATTATCTCAAAACATTTTTAAAAAAAGATGCAAATGGTCTTTTTATTCCACTAGAACTTACTATTTATTTTGTTCTGGTAGCAGAACATTATGTAAACAGAAAGAAGAAAGGACCTTTTAAAAAAGAAATAAATTAAAAGCATTATATCACAAGAATTGTTGTACTCATGTTAAGATTGACTTATGTAGTTGCATGAAAACAAACAGAAACAGCACATGCACACAACAGGAAAACCTTAATATAAACTATGACAAAAGTGAAAATAATGAAATGACATTATTTGCACATAGTTTTCCATATTCAAAAACTGTCATGTTGCTAGTTTTGTCTTTTTTTTAGCCTATATTAATCTTGGCCCATATGTACTACAAAACTTCACCCCTTAAACATTTTCATTGCTGAGCTTGTGACAAATTTAATATTTTTGCACTATGGAAAACTCACAGATGTGCACTGGTGATTTAAATAACAAAGTTTAAAAAAATACTGCAGATGTATGTAAATGATATACTGGATTTATTCATTAGGAACACTTCATAAACAATTCTATCGTATTGTCATATTTAAATCCACTCTAGATACAAAAATAATATCACAACAATATCTTCTTGACCTAAGCTAATCGGGGATAATGAGGCGTAGTCATGAATGCTGAGAGGCAGAGAGGGTCACATCAATCCGCATTGTACATGTCTCCTGAAGAAGGCAGGCGAAGGTGTCCTCCTGTTACATTGGGAAGCAGAGAAAGGTCTGGAAGGCTGCCCATCCGGGAACGTAGCTCTTTTCGGACTTGGGAAACCTTGGCCAACTTGTGCTTATATTCCTGGAAAGGTAAAAACACAGATGCAGGTCAGTTCCATCGTGGGGAGATGATGTTTTTTTAGTTGAATTGTCAGGAAGAAAAGGTGGACACTGCCTAACCACATAAAACTGATTTTGACCCCCAAAAAGTGATGTCCCCTGCAAACAGAAAAGTAATAAAACTAGCCCGTTCCTTCTCATACTTCTGATTTTTGCAGTACCCTGACAAAGAACAGAGAAGACCAGAGTTGGGCTCTGTGGCACTTTTAAGGTGTTGTAAAAGATTAATTGAAAATTGTGCAGAAGATCTATGTTGCTGTCAAACAACACGAGAGGTGGAAGCACAACCCCCCACTACTCACTTGAAAACAACAGCAATAACCTTGTACAAACATGTATTTGTCTCTGCCAAGTTGCATTGTCACTGGAGATCTGAGACCACTTGTAAATGTTAAAAATGCTGCATAAAACCAGCATTTAAAACCTACACTGTAAGAGATAAGTGATATATAGATAAAGATATTTAACATCAACTACTTTAGTACAATGTCAGGCAACAGTGGAGTTCACTACTCCACTTAACATTAAGTTAATGCTTGTGTAAGATTTGCAAATCACTTTACTGGGATTTTACTTTACTGACTGGGATTTAAAAAATATTGCTACAAAAAATATTTCTACAAAAACATACTGTAGACATTGTACACACTGTGTTATCTAAACCTCTAGACACACAGAAAGGTCCTACAGCAGCAGCATAACACTCTCATAACAAAACATCACAATCAAAAAGAACATAGGTAGGTTAGGAAGCTCTGCAGAAAAAAAAAAACTATTCAGGTTACATTTTATAGAAGGAATTGGTATATATCTGCATTATAATTGGTAAACATGGAATGGATGTACTCATTTACTTTAATGGACTGGTCCATGAAATATTCATCAAATCATGAAAATATTTCAACCAGGCATATTATTTACAATATAAGTATTTAAGGAAAACTAACACTTCATTAAAAGATTCAACCATTTTTTGTCATTTTACTACACTCATGAGATTGCAAAACTGTTGTCTCTTCCTGCCTAGCAATATAATTATAAACTCATCAACATGACCTGGACTGTAGTTTTATTCATTATGTATAATCTAAATAGACTTCACGACATTCTGGAAAATCAGTTATCCAAATGAAGATTCAAGGGACTAAGATGCTTAAATAGAACTACCAAATAAGACCACATAACATGAAAAACTTTTTTTTTCACAAACATAAAAGGATTGTGTTCAGAAGCAAAACATAAAATGTATTGGAAGTATTTTATCCTAGTAGTCAAAGCATGAAAGGCAGACATCCATTTATGGTGCATCTGAACATTTTAAATTGAATACCAACCACAATTATAAGGCAGTGAATGAGAGAGGGTCTTTCAGCCTGATAACCAACAGTACATTTAAAAACTATATGTGTTGTCAGTAATGGGATGGCATGTAATGGAATTGTCTCTCTTTCTGCCTTTCTTTTTTACAAATTATCTCCCTGTTTTTCTTGAAGTTATGACCTATTAACCCAGAAAACATGTTCACAAGGAAAGTGTCCTGTCTCCTGTCCTGTCTTGAAATGTTTAAGAAATGTGGTGAGGAAATGCAGTGGTCTGTGGTCCGAACCTTCAACCATTGACTTTCTACTGTGTATAAAAACGTGAATGCTTTCAGAAAGTATTCTGAATTGTTATAACACTTTCCCATGTGCACATGTAATCTGCTTAGTACTGAGTAATGATTTCCTTGAAAAGAAAAATTATCCTGACAGGCCCATTGAGACCACCTGGTGATTAATAGATATTTGAAGGATCATTTCCAATTGTTTGCTGAAAGAAGTCACGGTATCTGCTTCGACAAGCAGAATAGCATTTTTCTGACACTTCAACCATTCTACTTACACTAAAGTTAATCATATGCCTTCATCATAAATCATGGAAAAGTATTGACCAAACTTAAAGCGACAATGGAGACAATTGGACACTAACATTCAAGTAACATTTTGTATAAAACATGAAAAAGAGGGTGATCGGCAATCAAAGGTAGGAAGATAAGGAGCAGATTATCTGGATTGTGATCCCTTGATTCAAAGATGTTCGATCACAGCCCACTTATGATTTCTATATTGGTTCACTTCAATTTTACAGTCAGTCTCATAGCCTGTTTGCAGAGTTTGTAGATGTTTTTGTACAAGCGTGTTGTCCTCAAGCTATAGTTTGTTTCCTTTGCTCTTTTCTCTGCTTTGAGGACAAGATGTTTCTCCTCAAAGCAGGCCCCTGAAAGATAAAGGCTATGTCACTACTGAAGCTGGCTGATGAACAGCTCCTCCCAAGCCTTCTGAAATCCATGTCTTGTTTCTTGAGATATGCCTTCAGTGTGTCCAGGTTAGAAGACATTTTGCATAAGGAACAAGCAAAGGCTTATTCCATGCTGAAAAGAAAAGAAACACAATGTTTCGGCTGTGGAGCCTTCTTCAGATGTCTTGAACTTGTTGCATAAGGATCACCTCCTCAATTGTGGTTATGGTGGCTTCACCAAAAACACTTCCATTTGTGTGGAACTCTTCTTCCTTAGTGAAGGAAAGTTTCCAGTGATATTGCTGGGCTCTGGAGGTGGCATAGTATCCAACAACTATGAGCAGAGCAGAGACGATGCACCTTGATTTTGTGGCCTGGGTCATGGTTAGTTAAGATATGCCTCAGCGGTTTTGCAAAAGAGGTATTTACACACTGGATCCTGTGTTTAAACGTATTGCTAATGTTTGCTCCATCTTGGAATGGTGGTTACCAAGTTTAAGGAAGTGCTCAAATGTCTCCAAAATCTGTTCTTTGAAGGCGAGTTGAAGAGGGTCACATGCATAGTCTGGAGCAGGATGAGGTCTTAATGATGTTGAGTGAAAATCCCTGACATCAGCAGGATGAGATCTCTTGCAGACTAGACATCATCCCCTGTGTGCACAAGTATTGTCTGGTGTACTGAATTCTGTAGAGCAGCCAATTCTGGCAGCACCCTCCATGAGGTTTCACAACTGACTTTGTGAAAATACAAATACAGCTTGAATCACAGCTGCATGCTGCACCAAACAATTCTTGGTGTCCAAATAAGACATTGGATTCAGCACACATTGAATGGATTTGCAGTGTTGAACTGCTTGCAGAATCTTCCATTGAATACTAAAGAGGAAATGGATGATGACTCAACATGGTCTCAGAATACTCAAAATGGTATCAAAAGACAGCCAGGAAACATAATTTAACAAAGAATCTTTTCTCCACAGCAATCTTTTTACATACAGTATTACATAATTTAAGCATGGACTTTGGAGGCATTATCCAAACAGTTAATGCCGAGGTTTTGAATTTGAAAAGCTCTCTAAATGTGGACTCAGCTTTATTCCATTTATGAATTCATCCATCAAATTTCCCCTAAGACCACTGCTTGGTACTTAATCCTGGAACAGTGAGGTATGGGAACACAATCCATGATTCCCTTTGATTTATTAGTATTAAATGATATACCTGAAATATGTTCATGATATTACACTGTTTTAGAGCCTAGGCCTGGGCTTCAGAAATGTATGGTAATATTTTAAAATATTTTATCTTTAAATTTCAAGCAATTAAAACATGATTTTGCAAGATAAACATATGAAAAACCTTTATTTGAACCAGCTTCTATAATTAGCTTTAGATAAAGTCTACATTTATTTTAGATTCACCCATATCTTTTTAATGCAACTTTAATGTGGCTAAAGTTTTAGGATTTTTGCGTAATAATATAAAAGCAAACTTCAGTTTTAATGCAATTCTTTAAAGCTTCTATCAGATCATTTAAAAGTTGGAACATGAAACCTTGTGCAAATAACTCAAAGATCAGGGTCAAAACAAGTTTTGTTTGGAACATACAAGTATCTACAGCAGAAGTTGACTATCACATTTGTATTCCTCTGTTAATACTTTATTAATATTATTAAAGCACATAGGATTAGTAAATATTTTTTAGGCTTTCACACTAATTAAAAGATTCAAATGGCATAGGGCACAACAGAACCATAGACTATTTTAAAGCAGCAAATTTAAATTTAGAAATACTTATAATTATATGTAAAATATCACAAATCTGAAAAACTGTTAAAATGTTCATGATTGTGTCTAAATGAGTCACAAGTTTCTGTTTACTGATCCATGATAAAAAAAACTCAAAACAGCTTATTTTACAAAATATACTTTCTAACCTAAAACTATGCTCAAAACAAACCTGGTGAGTGTGAACCAACTACTTTGTTTATATATGAAAGAAAATCCAATCTAATCCATTCAAGGAAAAACAGAGGTAGATGGGTAATTTGTTAAGCCAGTTTTGAACTAGATTTTTTTTAAATTCATATCTATTGACACTTATGGTCTGATTGGTATTTAAGAAGCTAAGAAACCAGTCAGAAAACTGAAGCTCTCAGAGCAGCAATTGTATATCACAATGTATACCATCTCACATTTTAACAAAAAAGTTAAATTTGTATCTACATATTTGGGACAAAATCCATTAAAAGCATTTTATGCATATCCAGATCATTCTTTTGCCTGTTTTCTAAATTGTTTTTGAGATGCCTGAAAACGTTAAAAGTTTTAATGAGTTGGCTTTAACCCTGCACCTGGAGAATTACTAACCCACCAATTTAACTGGTAGTGATTACAGACCTGATTAGGAACACTAAAAGAAGGTGATTTGTTCAATTTAGTTCAGTTTTAGATTTAGAGATCATTCGAACCAAAATCTGAAGAGCATTCAGCCCTCAAGGAGCAGAACTGCCTTAATTAAACAAATTACTTGCTTAACTGGTGAATAACTTACAAGTGTTCCTGATCTTTAAAACACAGGTGGTTCTGGACGACCGATAAGACTGGAGCTCTCCAGAAACATTCAAGGCCATCATAGAATGGCTCACTGGAACATTTTAACATTTTTTCTTGGAGTGAGGGAAGAAATGTTTGTTGGGAATGCCCTTTTTGCAAAAGAGTTCAATCTTTTATGAAAGTACTCAGTAAGACCAGAGATTATTCAGTTTGATCACAGTTCCCTTTATACTGTTTGGTTCATTAACTCAACAAACTGCAATGCTAGTATGAAAGCAGTTTTTGGCTTCATTTTATTATTAGTAAATCTGAGAGTGCTACTGCCACCTGAGGAGTCCTCTTGTACTTCATCTGTAAGAACACAAGAATCCTAAAAATTGGGAGGCTAAAAGTCTGCCATTATGGAGATTTGTGAACCTTTTAAGGAAACCCACAGACCTAGGTAAGTGCATAAGAAATCCTCTAAACTGCAAGGCTCAGACCAGACATGATGGTTTTATCAGTGTGGTCTAGGCCCAAAAAAAGATTTAGAAGAAGCACTTGCTTCCCCTCTCAAAAGAAATGGAATGTAAATTTGATCATGCTTTTAATGATGTGCATGTGGACTCCAGCATCATACACTCCTCAGAGGTATATCACTCTATAGATCCATTGATCCTACCACTGTGTCTACATCTCGATGTTAGTCATTTTCCTTTGTAACATATGAAGGCTACAAACTCATGAACACTCTTCTAAACTTTGCACCTTGTTTGGTTACTGGTAATCTGTTGCTTTAAGGATGTCTTAAATTGCTTCTTGATTGCTTTTGACAGCTGCTAACTAGTTTATTTCCCACATCTGCTAACGATCAATACAAAACTAAATTGGATTTTTTTCGTTATAAAGTTACAAAATGAACTGGGGAAAACCAAAATCAAATTTGAATCCAAGTCTAGGAAACATAACTTTAAGTATTGAGTACTTTAAGGATCATTTTCTCCTTAAATTGAATGATTACCTTTGTCTTCAGTTACATCGTACAACACCCTTAAACTTAAATACTCAAATGAAAACAAGGGATAAACTAAATTAATGTACTTTAAGTAACTGACCCCTGGTATAAAAATATAACCCTGGTCTTATGTGGCAAATATAAGACCCACTCAATAGTTATATTACAATATAGTCTTGGTGGGTCCAACATATCACCAATGAATAGTTGCCATAACACTTAGCCATTAAAAAGATTTGGGCTTGAAGACCTGACAGGAAGAGGTCTTAAATGTATTCAGCAAGAGATCCAAATTTTAGTGCTTCAGTATTTTCTTTAATGGAGTAGAGGTCTGGCCATATTAATGTGAATGTAAAAATGTTGTGAGAAGCCAGGTATAACACCACAACAACTCTTCTAATAGTTGTATAAAGACTAATACTTTAATTGTAATCTTTAATGCTTTCAAATACCTAGTTTTTTTTTTTTTGGAGGTGTCACAGAAAAAAATATTCATTTATCAGAAAACCACGAAAATGCTTGTGTGTTGTTAACCAAAAGGGCTTAAACCCCCAGGACTGGTGCACCACATGAATCTTGATATTCTAGCCAGGAACACACACACAACTCTTGGCTTATGTGGAAACTGTACAACGTGAACTTCAGAGTATGCTTTTCACGTTATGTTTTTCAATTTCAGAATCATACTGTTTGCTCATCTTAAACGTTATGTAACAAACTACATGATTACATAGGGCAGCAAGTAATTTGAAGAAAGTTAAAGGTATGGGCCATGTTCAGGTAATGCTAATATAGCAGAAAAATTTAGAAATCCCATTATTTAATACTTATTTTAAGTAATGGGTAGCATGTTCAAATCGGATACTAAGATGTACATTTCTAAATGACAGATTGTATGTTTTAAAAAAATGAAACTAATTTGAATACTGAGAACCCACAAAAAGCACCGATCTGTCGATTTTCTAATCAGTTTATCTAATACAGGCCCTGGGTAGATGATGCCTATCTCTGCAAGCAATGGGCACAAGCCTACACCCTGGCCGGGATGCTAGTATGAAAAACATTAGCTTCCCAAATTAGAAGACCCTATATGATGGTTAAACATTTGGAAGAGTTAGCTTTGTTCTTCCTTTCTCTGAAATATTCACACCTTGATAATACCTTTGTCAAATCTGATGGAAAATACCTTCAGAGAACTAAATGTTTGTATAAACTATGCCTTACTGGAACAGGAAATTGCAGCTTTTTCCAAAGAGTAGAGGAGATACTTTTTGAATTTCAACTGTTTCCTGAACACCACAAAAAAAAGTAAATGCAATCAATTTATCCCATGTGCATTTCCAAAAAAATGCTGAAAGACTTAAGTCAAAACTTTCACTCCATTAAGACAGAATATAAACACTATTTAACTAAATGCTTTCCTGATGAACTGATACATGTACACTTGTAATATAGAAAATTAAAAATTTAAATTAGTGGTGTAAGTTTTCAATCAAATACTACAATAATTCCTTAGGATCTCAACCCACATAGGTGAGATGAGCAGAAATGATGCCAATCGAACAGTAGTTGACCTTTTATACACAGGCCGAAAGAAACCTATAACTTGGGATATGTACGTATGGGTTTTAAGGTGTCGGATATACTGATAAAGGTGCTCTTTAACCAGTTCTTATCAGAAAAAGTATGTAAAAATGTGTTTTATCTACAACATGAAAAGGCCAAGCTATAAAAGAACAATGAATTGGGACCATTAAATTGTAATTATTTTTTCTTTAGGGCTGAATGACTAGGAGAATGCCTCCTCCTCTATATTAGAAAAGAAGATTTCCTGCATCCTTTTTCCTTATTTCCTACACTCACCAGCCTCCCAAGCTGTACACAAGCTTGGTTTTACCCCCTACAGTGAATTTGCATAGCAGTTTAAATAATACCACACCCACAGTCAGTTTTTGGATTTTTATTTTTTCTTTTTTTTTTACAGGATACTTTGATAAGATGACGACACCAGGAGACATGTCCTTGCTCAAAACCTGTAATAGAAGCTAGACAGTAAAGAGTTAATAATTCTTCCCACCACAAGATGTTTATATAGATCTACTTACCCATGTGTAGAACAAGCTCCCTCCAGGAACCCCCTCAAATGACAGTACCTTATAAAAACCTAATTAACTTCCTCTAAACAAACTTTAGAGAAAAACTGCAGCAACCCCTAATGACTACGCTTTTGACTCCTGAGTGCCAATTATGCTTAACATTAAAATACACAGGTAATAAGTCTTAAACTATAAATGGAAAACTACTGGACACACCCAATGTAGAACCCATCAAAGCTTTGTATCAATGTATTTAGTATCACCGAAACTGCTATTAGTTTAACTAAAATAAAATTCATATTTAACTTTAAAGTTAAATCTTAAATGTTTTTCTTGACTTAAAAAAAAGAAATTAACCCAATTAGAAATAGATTACTGGATCATTTTTCACACTCCTCAAAAACACCAAAAACACCACAAATTGCAAAATTACCCTGGGGAGTAAGGTTTAATATTTTAAAAATGAAATATCAGGCTAATTCTATGGAAGAAACATCAGTCCCTGAATAAGATTTTAAATTGAAGTACTAAACATATAAATTTAAATTTTTGTAGAGTAAGCTTTGATGGGCAGCCTGAAATCTGTCTTTTTATGCACCACGTATTGCCTTTTGTCAGCAGCTGTTGCAACTCTCAAATTTTTATCATATATTCCCATTTTCCCTAATAGAGCATAACTTTTTAAGTTTTTTTTTCAGAGGTTTCCCTCTGCATTTACAAAACATAGTTGATTATTTTATGTATAGCAAGTTCATATTGGGAGGGGGGGGGAACACTTTAAGTGATAAAAATAGGAATGAAAATTTTACGCACTTCCAATTTCTGTTCTTTTTCCGCTAGAATCTCCTTTTGGGCACGCAGGAAATCCATCAAGGTCCTGGTCAGCTGCTTCCGGTCATCAATTTCTGCTGCCAACCTGCCGTTGTAGTCTGCCAGGAGCATACAGGCATCGTCCACCATTTTGGACAGGCGATCCCCCGACTCTTTATCTAAACAAACCACAAATAAATACAAACATTTTTTTTTAAATAACCACATACAATAGCGGTTTTCATCAAATGATTCTTAAAATTAGAAAAGTGGATCAAAACTTAAATTAAACTTTGCGCCTTTGGACTTTGGAATGACAAAATGAACTGTAATGTACATAGTGCGACCACTATGGATTATATAGAGCTTACACCCAAGCCATATAGTCTAGCATCCTGTTTTTTGCTTTTATCACCGAACTTATGTAAATTCTATATGGGCTGTTTGAAATCCAGCCCAGCAAGTCTTCAGCCTCCAGAAGTCAGTAAAAACTAAATATAGCCAAATAAGAACATTAACTGTTGAGTTCCTGAAACGGGAATCCACTAACTAGTATAAAGACTGAAAAAAGGAGGCTGTTCTTTACTCAGACAGGATGTGGGTATCTATAACCTCACCATGGTGTTGAAGGAGATTCCCTGGGGATCCTTCAACTAATGACTGGATGACAATTTTGAATCTTGGATGTGTTACCTGTTCAGTTGCTACTAGCAAAAAGTAATACAGACTAATTAACCTCCTTCCATTTCACATCTTTATAATGATCTGATGGAGTTAAAAACAGAAACTATGTGCAAATCCATAACCAGCTGGCCACAGAAATGCAATCACCCATGATATCCGTTTAAAAAAAAGATCACCACCCCATACCTGTTATTCTGTCCAGTAATGCGACGTCCTGAACTTCTAAGGGCAAGGAGGAAATCCTTTGCCGGACAGTAGCATCTCCTGAGGCTGCGTTTTCAAGTTCCTGCAAAGCTTTGATGAGTTCTGCTACCTACCAGAAAAAAAATTAATGAATTTCACAATTACAGGATTTACAGGCACATTCAATACAACAATTACTGCTGCTGTAGGCATTACAGTTCCAGAATGCAAAAGTCTGGTGGTACTTCCACAAGAGTATCCCCAAAAAGTGAAAATAATAGATAGCACAACAACAGGAATGCATTTCAGAACTGCCAGAGTGTAGGACAGTGTCCAAATACTGACTGAATTTTAACTTTTGCAGTGAGACAACTGTTAACTTAGCTCACTGCAACCCATAGCAAGTCTATCTTTTAAAAACAAATGTGATGAAGTAAAACAGCCAAAATAAATCAGCAAAACTACTACTAATAAATCTCAATGTAACAATTTATTGACTTTGCAGCAAGATCGTTCTCATTGCAGTGGATTGTCATAAGTAGGAGAGTTTTTTTATTTAATTCTGCATTTTTTTAATGTACATAGTGAATAAACTGTGATTTGCATATTAATATAAATATGCTAATATGCTAGCAGTATAAGATAGACACCAATAGAAACAGTGATGTTATATTTTGTTTGATGATGTTCATCGGGTTGCTAAAAGTAAAGAACATATACTGTAGAAACGGACATGCTGGTGTCTATAAATACGAAATACCTATTTCTATATGAAGATCACAAGTCCAAAATTCCTTGTGAAGAGATCAAATAAGAACAAACTATTTTAAATTTGTGCATTCTCAAAGTACTCAAAGATCTAGTTATCATTTTATGATTTTATACTAATATCTATATCTTCAAACTTTTCACTGTATTATATGGAACAAAAAAGTTACCATTATCACACAAAGAGTTATTCCTTGGACATTATCTGAAACATCAATTTGGGGATGTACACAAACATGAAAATGCTTTATACCTGCGGAGGATCACCAGGAGAACTTTGGCAAGGAAAGTCATCCTCTTCAAACTTTATTTCTTCATATGGACGCTTTTTAGGTTTCTTATCACCCTCTGGAAATAGCAGAAAATGCAGAGTTTCAGATGATGAAATGACCAAGAGATCTAAAACATCTTAGCATGCAGAAATCTAGAACTTTTACTTTGTTCATTATTCCTTATTACTTTAAAAAACTGGACTTTCCACACTTTACAAACAGTTAGCATATTCAGATTGTGCAGAATGGTTTCCATTTTGCTCTCCATTCCATAAATCTGAAAGATTTGGCAAAATATACAAAAAGCAAATTAACTGGGTCTTCTAACTGTACTGCTAAACCACCTGAAGGCAAAATGAAGAAACACTTCAATAACTCCATATTCAAGCAAAAATTCTGGCATCTTAATTTTATGTAAATGCTTAAATGGCTCAACTATGATGTTTCAGAGCAGACCTGAACATTTAACAGAAAAAAACACCCTTCGATACCTGCTGCAAGGTAACCGAACTAAGGGGCAATGTGTTGCCTTTCCCTTACAAAGAAAATGAATTATACAGCTAAAAGTAAACTTGACAATGTACAAACATCTTTGACCAACTGAATGTTTCTGGTTTCAAAACTGTAGGATGCATACAAATTCAATCACAAGTACCACATTGTAACCCATTCAGGAATGTATTTAGTTGTGCATAAGAAAATATTTCTCCCAACTCTCATACCTTCTAAGGAGGACACTCAAAATCCTGTTTTTCTTTTGTTATTTGTGATGTATTTTAAAGGTTTGTCTGTGGAAATATTCTGCCAATCACCCATTTAATGCATTGCGTTTTTCAGTGTATAAAAGACAGAATTAAGTTTTTGCCTTTAACTATATTACTGAAAGGACTCCAATGAAAACAAAGGATTCACAATCCATGAATCAACTGCAATAGAATTGTAAGAGTGGTTCAGCAGGAATGTTATATATGGTTCTATTTACATACAGTGCCTTGCAAAAGTATTCAGACACTTGACCAATTCTCTCATTTTACTGAATTAAAAATCCTACATTGAAATTTAGTTCTCTGTGATATTTTTATTTCTAAGCACTGAAACTCAAAATTAATCTTAAGAAAAATAAAAAACTGAAATATGCTGTTTGCATAAGTATTCAATCCCTGTGTTGTGGAAGCTCTAAGTTTACACAGGTGAAAAACAATAATGAGGTAAGAAGGACACAATTGCCTTACAATTGGCCTATACCTGTGAATCATTAAAATAACTGCAACATTTTCTGGATATAATCTCGACAGTTAAGGGATCATTACTCAGGGTGTGAATCTGAAGGACAGCTGTGAAAATGAAGACTAAAGAGCATTCCAAAGAAATTAAAGATTTACAGGCATTGTTCCAACTGGATCTCATTGGGTTAATCAAATGCATACATGAGGGAAAGGGTACAAACAATATCCAAGTGTTTGGATGTCCCAGTCAGTGCTGTTGGTTACGGCTACATCAAACCACCCAGACACTTCCTAGAAAAGGTCGTCCCTCAAAACTCTGTGTGAACAAAAAGGTGAATGCTGCACATTGGTGGTGGTGGAGGGGAGTCCCCATTACCTGTAAAGCGCTTTGAGTGGAGTATCCAGAAAAGCGCTATATAAGTGTAAGCAATTATTATTATAATAAAAAGGAGACTTGTGAGAGAAGCCACAGAGATGCCAACGATCACTTTGAAGGAGCTACAGAATTCAGTAGCTGAGAGTGGAGTAAAGGTGCACCAGTCCACCATATCAAGAGCTCTGCACAACACTGGCCTGTATGGGAGGGTGGCACAAAAGAAGCCAATTACTCAAAAAGAACCATTTGAAGGCACGTCTGGAGTTTGCCAAAAAGCACGATAGTGACCCAGCTGCGATGTGGGAAAAGATTTTGTGGTCAGATGAGACCAAAATAGAGCTTTTTAGCCAAAATTCAAAGCAATATGTGTAGCGCAAATCTAACACTGCCAACACCTCAAAAAACACCATACCTACAGTGAAGCCTGGTGGTGGTAGCATCATGCTGTGGGGCTGCTTTTCATCAGCAGGGACTGGGCATCTTGTTAAAATAGAAGGAAGAATGGATGGTGCAAAACACAGGGAAATACTACAGGAGAACCCGTTTCAGTCTGCTTAAAAACTGAAGCTTGGGAGAAAGCTCATCTTTCAGCAGAACGGCAATCCTAAACACAGAGCCAAAGTAACACTGGAGTGCCTCAAGAAAAAATTGAGAATCTGGCTCTATTTGAAAATTGTGGTGCACAACCGTGATCCGACTAACCTGAACAACCTGGAGCAAATCTGCCTGGAAGAATGGGCCAAAATCACTCCTGAACAGTGTGCAAAGATGGTACATACTCACCCCAAAAGACTTAAAGCTGTTATGGCTGCAAAAGGTGGCTCTACAAAATATTAAAATGTGGGGATTGAATACTTATGCAAACAGCATGTTTCAGTGTTTTATTTTTCTTAAGACTATTTTCTAACATAAAACAATGTCACATTCAAATAATGAATTTTGAGTTTCAGTGCTTTGAAATAAAAATATCAATAGAGAACAAAATTTCAATGTAGGATTTTTAATTCAGTAAAAGGAGAGAATTGGTCAAGGGTCTGAATACTTTTGCAAGGCAATGTATATACAGTAACAACACTGATTCAAAAGTCACTTTAACTAATATTTTTAATCATTACAATAGAATACAGAACAGATCACAGAAAGAAATTGAAACTGCAATTTAATCTAATACTTAAATCACTGACTAGTTGATTATTAATTGTAGGCTTTCTGTGTGATTTCACATTGGTATCTGGCTGTTTCCTGCTTTTCTGCATGATAAATGGATGACCTGATCGCATTAAAACATTTCACCCAGTACAACAGCTGTAAAATATAACCTTCTTCTGCAATTCAAGATTGCAAGGTAATGAGGGTGTAAGACCCATTTTAACAGCGATCAAAATCCTGATCTTGGAGCCCCACTGCTACCCTTCACAATTCACTCAATGTGGATGCACACCGCTTCCCCTGCCCTTCCAGCCTAAAAGACAGCAGACATTTTCCACTTTATTGCCAAACTGTTTCAGTGTAACAGAAAGCTCACTTACGCAGGACCTGCCTGAGCTGTTCCAGCAAGTCATTGTCATACACAGCCCTTTCCTGCCAAATAGACAGCACTCTCCCAAGGTGTTTCTTACACCCCTCCTCACCGTCACTGTAAAGAAATGAAAAAGGCATGTTTTATCAACTACATTTGAAACTGATTTGCAACCTAGAAGTGACAATGTAGAACCTGTACGACTTAAGTAGTCAAACCTAAAATATTAAAAGACAACATAAGGTCACAAATAAAAGGAGACTATCTGTCCCACCTAGCCCATTCAATAGATCATTGATTGAAGGATCTCATCCAGCCATTTCTTGAAATTAATCAGGATTTCTGCTTTAACAATGTAGCTGGATATTTACCATGTGCGTTTCAGTTTATGTTTAAGTATTCATTTTGAAGCAATCTACTGGGTTAACACTGTAATGCCTTTGAGAAATGTTGGTATTTCCATCTGATCTCTTCATGATCTTCTTTGTTCAATACTAAAAAGATTCAGTTGCTTCAGTCTGTCAGAGTAGGACGTTCCCACACGCTCTGGAATGTACATGGTTACTCAGCCTGGGACCGATTCCTGAGCTTCAACATCTTTTCCAGAAAGTGGTGACCAAAATTGTAAACAATATTATTAACTGAGTCCTTACTAGTGCTTTGCACAATTTTACCACAACATTCCTTGATTTAAATTCTGTGACTTTAACCATATATCCTGGTTGCTTCCTCACACTGTCTAGAAGACATAAATGCTGCGTAAACATATACTACTAGGTCCTTTTCATAAAATACCTTTCCTAACTCAGCAGATCCTATTTTGCATTTATAGTGTTTTACAAACTGCATGCAAATCCCTGGACTTGTCTGCATTAAACTAAATAAAAGCAGTGCATTTAAAATCGAGAACAGGAGGCACATCCTTGTTGAAGCCAATTCTCTTTCAAGAAACAGCTGGATGAGATGCTTTGATAAATTAACTTCTAACTACCAACCAGGACTGAGAGGCCAAATGGCCTTCTTTTGTTTGTAATCTATCTTAAGGTTACTGCATGGCCACACACTCACAGCTGAGGAGAAATACAGGTTACCATTGTAAAAACACTGATGTGAAAAACTATTATAAAAGAAATGAATTATACTGACAGCTCGTGTGTTTACATTTCCATTATGGTCTATTTCAGTGGTTCTCAATCCTTGTTCTGGGGAACTGTTGTCTCTTCTGAATCTTACTGTTTTGCACTCAATTCTTAATTGCAGCCAAATTAATTTCAATGCTCTACACTCTTTTAGGTGTGTTTTAAAATTGTCTCTTAACTCTCCAAACATACCTGTGAATCATTAAAATAACTGCAACATTTCTGGATAAAATCCCTACAGTTAAGGGATCATTACTCAGGGTGTGAATCTGAAGGATGGCTGTGAAAATGAAGACTAAAGAGCATTCCAAAGAAATTAGAGATTTACAGGCATTGTTCCACCTGGATCTCACTGGGTAAATCAAATGCATACATTAGGGAAAGGGTACAAAACAATATCCAAGTGTTATGGCTACATCAAACCACCCAGACACTGCCTAGAAAAGGTCGTCCCTCAAAACTCTGTTCACATTGGTGGTAGTGGAGGGGAGTCCCCATTACCTGTAAAGCGCTTTGAGTGGAGTGTCCAGAAAAGCGCTATATAAGTGTAAGCAATTATTATTATTATTTTTGGAAAGCACGGAGGAAGTGCAAAAAAAGTCTAAACAAGCTAAGCAGACCAATTACATGCCTCAATTAGCACCTGTGATTAAGGGCCCAGTTGGGTACAAAAACCGGTAGACAGTTCTCCCTCAGGTCAAAGACTGAGAACCTCGAATACGCTAATGTAGCGTTTACAAAACTGATGTGGCCACAGAATACTTCTGGAAAATACTGACAGAACACACACATGCTTGGCTGAGGAGAAGAGGGAGGGTGCATATTGGAAAAACTGCCTCATGTGATGCTCACAAGAGTTATTTTTTGGAAACCTTTTAGTTTACAGAAAACGTAAAATGTCATTTTGGAATACGGAACACACATTTCACGCATGTCTGTTGTAGCAACTGGACCTGTGCATTGTTACACTGGGTACTCTCGCATTCACATCACAGAAGTAGCATAATTACTATTATGAATGTGTTAGAAATGTTTAATATACCTACAGTCTACTGATCAGATGCCTTAGTATGCTTAACACATAATGTAATATGTAATATTTTTCAGGAAAAATATAGTGAGCATTGAACACAGAATGCCTATTCGCAGAGAAAACCAGTGTTGCCCAAACTCAGTTTGGTACAAGCTTCTAATTACACTAAATAATAAGACTTTTCCTTACATATAGCAAATGAATGAAATCCTAAAATTCAGTAGTGTTTGTCACAATTTAAAAGAGATTAAAAAATTCACAGATCTTACATCTCATTAGATAGATAGATAATACTTTATTAATCCCGTAGGGAAATTGATGAAATGGTGTATATTTCTCAGTATACAATCATAAACATTGACAAACTAAAACTTTGAAAAAGGTTGAAAGCATTACCTTGCAACATGTCTAAAGGCATCAACTATAACTGGTGCGAAGTCCTTGGTGAACTCCGGGCCTTTCCGTTTGCTGTTCTGTATAACATCATTGGCTAGGTAGAGGAACGTCAGCTTTCGGGAGACCTTGGCTATAGAAACACAAAACATGCATAAATGTCAGCACATGTGAAATAGCTGCATAATATTATCTGCATTATTAAAGAGTGAGAGCTGACTCCAGTCATTTTGAAGGTTCTTAATAAAAGGTCACCTTAATGTTATGATTTGTAACAAGATAGAAAATATTTTACAATGAACTGCAAAATATATAGCAAAAATGTTTTGTAGTCCAATGGCTCCTGAAAAAACAAACCTATTGAGGAACCACAATAAGCTTATATATACAAAGATCACTTTTCGCTATAGTTTCCCGGAATGGGGCACAGACTCTTGGAAGTGGGTACACTACTATAGAAACTGCTGACAATCAAGCAGAAAAACAAACAACAAATGAGAACACTCAACTGTACTTTAGTGCACTGCTGTTTACCAGGCTATATATAGACTAACATTGATTAGACTTTCTACTGTTAATGTCGAATTAACTTTCAAAGAGAAGGTAAAATGAGCTTTAGAGGATTTTGTACTGTTCCAAAAAAGAACTATCATTAAAAAGTCCAACATAAACATTGTACATTTATTTACAACATTAAAACTGTTGTGAATGAATGCAAACATGTGATGACTACCCTTTTCCAAATGCTACATACAGAAACCCAAATTTCCCCAAATGTTTCACTGCACCACCAACTGCAATCACATTTACACATTTTAAGACATAAAAACAGTCAGAAATTGAGTCTCAGATATTAAGTTCATATTCTATATAAGGATACATTTTCCACTCTATTATTTTGGTTCATTTTCATGGGCAATACAATACACAAGAGTACAACTGCAGTGCATCTCTTGAGAAGATAACCTGTCCTTTGACACTTTTTTCCAGTCAAAACAGATCCTCTAGGACTTAACTTATTTTTTCCCATAATGAAGCCTTGTGGGATAAAACTAAAGCTGCAGCAATTTTGCTTTTAGAGCTTAATTCCTTATAGGAGTAACACTGTAGTGAATCTACACCCAGCCCTGCTTAATGAAGGTGTAAAATAAAGCCTAGTGTTAAATAAAGGCTTACACTGGCTTTTTTAAACAATGTTTGAGAGAGATATCTTTCATTATGAAATACTAATCTTTGTAAAATTACCAGCATCAAATACATCTTTCAGACTTTATTACAGTAAAACAGTCGTAATCTAATCAACTAAAAAAAACATCTAGTTCGCACACCACTGTACTGTGACTAGGGTATCATACAACAATCTGTTATCATGCAAGAATCATTTGCAAACAAAACAAAGAAAATACCCTGCACATAACTTGTCCCATTTTCAGTTTCACAATGTGCAAGCTTCTGTGAATCTGTGCCAATCAAGAAAAAAAGCAAAATAACCCATACCTGCTGTTGGCCTGTAGCTTCTAACACTTCAAAAGGGTTTACACTCATACGCAAGCAAGGCCTTATTGTTATCATGGGATGAAACAAAAACTCCACAGTCCTGATCTTTCGTAAATGTCTCAAGTTTAAACACTAAATCAGAAATAACATCCTGATTAAACAAAACTTCTACACACCTGCCAATAGGAAGTTAAAAAGGTGGCTGTTTGATAAAATTCCCTTATGTGCAGTAAAGCCAGAAAGCTTGATTTCATCCACATTTAAAAGCCAATTCCATCATTATTCATCTGAAAGCTTTTGGTATGTTTCCGACACACAGAAAAGCAAAAACAACACCTCTGTCTAGTTTTTGATACAGTTCACAAACTAATCAGTAATTATAATAATTGCTTACACTTATATAGCGCTTTTCTGGACACTCCACTCAAAGCGCTTTACAGGCAATGGGGAATCCCCTCCACCACCACCAATGTGCAGCCCCACCTGGATGATGCGACGGCAGCCATAGTGCGCCAGAACACCACACATCAGCTATCAGTAGGGAGGAGAGCAGAGTAATGAAGCCAATTCATAGAGGGGGATTATTAGGAGGCCATGATTGGTAAGGGCCAATGGGAAATCACTATACTGGGGCATTAGGACCCACATGGACCGAGGGTGAGCGCCCCCTGCTGGCCCCACTAACACCTCTTCCAGCAGCAACCTTAGTTTTTCCCAGGAGGTCTCCCATCCAGGTACTGACCAGGCTCACACCTGCTGAGCTTCAGTGGGTTGCCAGTTGTGAGTTGCAGGGTGATATGGCTGCTGGCGTGAGTTGTTTTAACAGTATGTTAATCAATTCATCATTAGGAATATTTGACTTTCAAGTAAGAAATAAGGCTAAACAGCTTGTAGGACCTCCACATTCTGCGTTAACTGCTGAGAGTTTGAGACATAATTGATGATGAGTACAGCTGTTTTTTTTAAGTTAAGGTTTTTGCAACTTCAGATTAATTGGGACATCTAAATAAAAGGAATGTCGGGCTCAGCAAAACAAAAATGGTAAAATAAGCACAGGGAAAGAACAAATGCTCCCAGCTTAAATTTCTACAATGCATTAAATGCTTGAAATATGCAGTCCCAAAACAGACATTCTTAAAAAGATTCCATTGCGCGCAAATGTGTTCAAAAACTTCTTGCAACTAAATGTAAAACCCCAAACCGTGACTGACCGCATAACAAACTTCTACAGGAAGTACTGCAAAGGCCAACAAACAAGCATACTACACCACTTAGGGGAAACTAAAATAAAAGTGGACAAAGTTAGCCTTAGCTGCCTAAAAAGTATTAGCCCGGGCAAAATAATATATAACACAGATCACTATAAAATGGGACAACGGGACTAGATGAAAACAATCATGAGGTCAATAAATGCAGCTTGAAGATGGAAATTATGACAAACTAATCTACAAAATAATTTAAAAGACTGTTAGAACACAGATAACTTGCTCAATGCTCTCCATTAGCTAAAGGATTTTCTTTAAGAAAGACTCCCAAGGAGACACTTCATCCTGTTATCATCCTCACATCTATAATTTTGGTGGGAGAAACTGAAGCAACACTCTGTTTGTAGTTGACCTTTTTATTTTTTGTGACTCTCTTGTGAAACACCTTTTAATCTTTTACATTTACTTGGCAATGTTTTAAAGCTGACAGATAAACTGTATTCATTTTCTGTTGTATGAGACAGTCCAATGACTTTTAAAATCTCTAAAAACGCTTGGCAATGTTATAATGCTGTCTAACGAACCGTTCTGAAGTTTCTTTTTCCTGCAAAGGCAGATTTCACTCTGCTTGATTTGACAAAAGAGGGGAGTGGAGTTTTCTGTAACTACATTGTATTACCTATCACAACATTAAACTACAGAATCTACAATAACCCGAACCCTGACCAGAGTTAGTCTCTGAGTCACATGTGAATTGGTGCCACTGAACAAAAATCCCACATCCAAGGTGCACACTTTGAATTTTGCTTTGCAATTTCCCTCACGGGATCAATAAAGTATCTATCTATCTATGAACAAAAAAAAAGGTTCACTAAAACATTTCATACTGTGGCAACATGCATTGATTATGATAAAACACACTGATCTTTGGAGATTAAAAACTTTAATATAGACCACTAACAAAGACATTAGATAAAAGCTGAATATCCAACATAGGTACATTCAGCATAGGTGAAGATATCTGTAAGAGTAATTGATGAGACTACAGTACTGTACATGAATATTTATGGAGATGTGTTGACTGAGGCGATGATGTTGAACTGATGATTAAAAGATGGTACAGTATTATATCACACCTGCACATCTTCCTTTATTTATGTTGTTGGGTAGAAGTAATGTAATACAAATGCCGTAAAAAGTCAGTGAAGCACTGTGAGCAACTGAACAAACGTAGAGCAAAGACATAAGTAGGAAGAGATGAGGGAGGTGCATAATGGGAGGGACATTGGAGTCAGACCTCTAAGTATATTGTGGAATCCTTGAGTACACATCTCAGGTCTGCCGTGGCCTGACAGTGAATTTGCAAACAATTGCAATGTATTAAAGAGGAGTATGAATGTAAAACTATATGAAAACCAATCAGTATGTTATTTTAAGAGTAATTTTTTGGGATAAAAAACTTAAATTGAAATAATGTAACTTATTTCTTCAATAATGAAGCATATTTTCGAAATACTTGAACTTTGAAGAGTTAAGAGTACCATCACACCTCTAAAAATTCAGTGTACACAGACTGGAACATCCTTAGAATGCAGAAAAAGTCTATGAGCTCTGAATCTGGCAGGACTGAAAAGCAAGCTCATGTTGTCAAAATCTGATGAGGTGCACATAGCTGAAATTTGTTAATTGCTTTTTAGCTCAGTTTATCAAGACGGACACAGGGGAAGGTGTTTGTATCAGTGTAATCTTTTCCTAATCAACAACGTGATGACAGAGGAGATTCATTCTGGGAAATCTTAATCATAACACTGCTGGCACCATTTGATTTTAGAAGCAATGTTAAAGTCCTTCTGACTGCAGGCTTGGAACAAACTAGTTTTTGTCTTGATACTAAAAGTCCTATCTTACCACATTTTATTACGTCTCCTGAAAATAGAATTCACCTTTACCTAGTCACGTTTTAACATCTTTACTGCAGGTACTATCATGCAAAAGTGTGCTGCCTAAATAACAGAAGTCATACACCTTCCCAAATACTACTTCATCACCACTTTCTTTCTCTATTCTTTTATGACCGCCTGTTTTTTTATTCCACTGCTTAGATTTTTTTCTTACTTACATTTAAATTCAACCTATCAGCAGCTTCTTTGGCCACCTTGTTTGTGAGTTTTTGTGTCCTTGCATGATGATACTGAGCAGCAATACATCGTCTGCAAATCTGAGGTCCTTCAGCCTGGTGTTGACTGTCCGTTGTATAACATTATCACCTTCAATACATGCTGCTCTCATTTTAAGTTAGTCCATGATGAAGAGGAAAATGAGAGGCAAGAGGCTACAGCCCTGCCTGATTCCCCTTCATCTTGGGATGTACAGAACGCTTGCTTTGATCATAAAAACTCCTAATTATATCGACTTTTACAGAAGTCTATAT